TACCAGTTGTTTTTATTTGAAGACTTTATTAATTAATGTTAAATATTAATTTTGTATAAAAATTGAACTATAATAGTTTGGATTTCTGTATTAGTCAGTGCAGCTTTTGGACATTTCCAGTTACAGAGATACATGTAATTTGCAGGTTTACAGGAAGGTCGACAAAACCTGCTCAGTGACCATTTGAAATCAAGTCACTTAAAAATGCAGGCCACATTTTATTCCCCTCCTTGTTTCTGTAGTACATTGCACAAAGTAAGTACCCACTAAATGTTACTAAATGAATGAATGAGTGAAGGAATGAATGAACTAAAAAGGAGACATGTTAGCTTCTGGCACAGGAATCTTCTAAACTAAGCATTAATTGAAAGAAATAATTTTATTTCTATAAAAATAAGAACAGGGAAATGTTAAACTGTGCTTCATTTTATAATTAAAGGTATAAAATATTTAAACTGCTAATGAGAACTTTGCAATGCACTGTATGGTAATTTTCATAAGACTGAGGAGATGATGTCAGAAATACCAAAAACTTCATTCATTTTTAAAAATGTAATTCAAAATCTGCCAAAAATCTGTGTCAGGTCTATTTTTACCTGGATTATTAATCCATTTTGCCTTATAGAAACAGTGTCTTTGAAATATTTTTCTCATTGGATATTTATGAGCAGTATACTAAATAAATTACTGTCTTCCCTTCTCTCAGGTATAACTATAAGTAGTTCAGAGTCCATTTGATGGAGAAATACACTTAGTATTATGAGGGCACAGAAGAAACACATTTAATAACAACATTTGTTATTCTGCCTAATGGTGTAAACCTTTCACCTGATATTTTAACTACAGCACAGATCCAATATCAATGCTAACTGAGCCTGTGGAGATCTTGTCAGTGCGGTGGGTTGTTACCACAATGTGTAAGTTACTGTGATCCTCAGTGCTGTGTGCGGAGAAAAGCGCGTCGGTAAAAGCCGGTGCGCCCTGGTATCTGTAGCAGGATTTGGCCCGTCTTTAATCTCCTTTGACTTGTTCATCTTCCTTTAAGGCCGTCCATAAAGATGTGCCGAGCATCCCTTTCAGCCTTTGGTGGATTTGCACCAGTGGTCATAAACCTGCCCTCGGGACAAAGACCCCCTTTCCTTTGAAGTAATTGCTCAAGCTTTTCAAGGCAGTCCAAGAGTCTATCCTCTTTCTCTTTTTATTTTTCTTTGAGATGAGTTTGACATGTAGCCCCTTAAACCAGCATCAAGATAAATTTTTCTCTTGGCTTTTTTGAAAGCCATGACGATTTTTCAAGCACTAAGACTTAAAAGGTTCTTAAGGGGATCTGCTCTGCTTTGTGATCTAGCTTTCAGTGGATCCTGCTATCTCAGCCAGCAACAGTGGGGACTTTTGGTATTCATTAACTACTGCAAACTTTTATCAAAGAATTAGCCTGATATTTTCCAGAAGACTTGTTTCCCCCTTGTTCTTTATTTGGCTTGGAGACTTCAGTGAGAGATGGAGATAGCTTTGGGGGTCTTTGAAAAGGTAATATGTGGCCAGTATTGTCTTCCTGGAACTGATTTCCTTGTAGGTAGTCTGTGGGTGACAAGTAGTGGGGAGGGGTAGGTCTAAGTGGGTGCTGCAGTGAGCATGAGTTATATGGTTTCTAGGCTTTGCAAGCAGAAATAGAGAAGTAGGATTTTGCCTTTTCTGTGGGATGTGATTGCTTGGGCTCTGGGATCCAGGTGATGTATAATCATGTAACCACAGAGGAATCAATTCTGAGCCATATATGCCAGTAGGTCTGTGTTCTGCCTCTGAGTATGCCCTTCACCTTTAATAGCTTCAGTATAAGTAGTTCCCGAAATACCTAGAAAACTTAAAACAGTTTGAACCTGTTGGGTTTAAATCCCATATCATAGAATTCTATTCACTCGGGTGAAATATTAATATTTAGAACATTTGGCGGCTTTGCATTTATAAAAATCCACAAGTATTTATTTTGAACAGAGTTTTTAATGAGAAAATAAAAAGAACATTCAATTTACAGAGCAGATAATAATGGAATACAAAGTCCGTTCTTAAGCAAGACTGAAAACAGCTTTTCTTAGGGGAAACGCTATTTCTTCATATGTTGTCGTATGTGGATTTTTAAAGGCCATTAATGTGCATTTCCTAAAGGGAGGGAAGTTAAGTAGCACAATCTTTTTACTGGAAATTCAGTGAGTGTTTGTGAAACCAGTTACCTGAGAAGAACCCAATGATTATAAGTCTGCCCTTATGCTTTTAATTTGTTGTTTTTCTTTTCCTTTCTTTCCTCCTGTATTTCCTGAACTGTCTGACCTGCTTCCTGGGTTAGAGAACATTTTGCCAAACTTTTAAGCCAACATCTTAGCATTGAACAGTTCTTTATTTAGAGATTGGGCCCAAGGAAAAGAAACAGCCTTTTTTCTGTTTTGAAATTACATCGTATGTTTGTAGAGGCATACATGATTGGTGTGGCGTGGATTATTGGAAACTAGTACTTTGCAAATAGAGCATACTTATTAAAATTTTAATTATGAGTTTACAGAAAAGAGCGCTTATACCTTAACCCACTTTATGGGGTTAATTGGGAGGCTTCCTAAACTCTTGACTTTAAATGTAGAAAATTCTCAATATTTGAACTGTTTTGTATGAAAGAAATACAGTGTCAGCAATATTCTCACTTCCTATGTTCCTGGGAGAGTATTCTTAGACCTAGGAAAAGGAAAATTAGCCCTGACATGCTTAGGTGATGGTGTTCTCTGGGTCCGCCATTACCCATCTGCCCCGTGTTTACTTTGGTTGACACTTAGGTCATTTTCAGTTGCCACTAAGGAATTCCAAGACAATTCAAATTAAAACACAAATCTCACCCCTCGCTCCCTTAAAATGGTTGACTTATGAAAACAGAAGAGTAATCACTGAAAATGTATGCCTTAGATCTTAATGATTTTAATTCTTGATTTTAAATAAGTTGCTGATATAATTAGACATTAATTTTAAAAATAACTTTGTAGGTATTTTTGTGGCATGTAGACCATCTTGGGAAAGGGATGAAGCATGAATGAGGGTGACAGTATTGGTAACTTTAAAAATATATAACACCTATTTCTCATTTTTGTGGCAAGGCTTATCTCTAACAGAAAATTAGCAATTCAGATTGGCTTAAATTATGTAGGTTTTTTTCCCTAAAAATTTCCCCAAATTTGTCTACTTTTTTCAACGGGGAAAAAAAAAAAGTCCTTGTGACAGATTCTTTCTTGTTTTGAAAAATTAAGTAAACTTTGTAATTAAGGTAGGTTTCCCTCCCCAAAGGAGTTTTGAAACTTGGAATCAAATCAACCTTCCTTTGCTTTTTCATAGGTTTTTGAGGTCTCCCTTTATCACTGAGCATGTCAGCCAGCTCCAGGTCAGGCAGTGCGCAGCAGGCCAGTGTGGTGCAGCTTGCTGTGTTGCAGTCTCACTCACAGTCACCAAAAGCCATGAAGGACACTGGACACAGCTGTCACGGTGTCCTCCGGTGGCATGCTGTGGTAGTGGTGTGGAATGACAAGACATGAAGTACCTGTAGGCTCCGGGGGAGGTGTCTTCATAGTAGACACACTTCACCTGTTTTTGTTCATGGATATCCATGCATTCAGTGAAACCTATTATTCTCTCCCTCTCTCCCCCCCTCCCCCCGCCCCCTTCATCCTTCCAGAAAAACATAGGTATGCACATACATTTTGCATGAAATTTCAGGGAACCCACAGACCCATTGTAGAAACCACTGCTTTGGAGTTGAATGTGTTTGCCTTTTCAAGGACATTAGGGTCCTGCTGGATTTTCCCTGACCCGCCAGGCCTCTCCTCAGTGTGTCTGTACTACATGTCTGGTTTAGGATGACGAGTTACTCTTCTCTGCAGAGCTCCGCAGCTGGTGGTAGTGACCTACTTTCTAAGCGCATTGTCCCATTTGGATTATACAGTGTCATTCATCATTATGCTGTGAAACCAGCCAGGCCAAGGAGATCTAAAAATGCCGACACCCTGTTCCCAAGTCCCACTTGTAAAGGCTTTTGTGTCTTGGTTCTTAGTGACTATAGAAGTAAAGGACTGGTTTAGTATTAAAATAGTATCTTCAGGCTAACTGTGGAATTCAGTTTATCCTTGTAGCTCAGCATGAATCAAGCCACAGATGAAGCCCATCTTTGTTTTCCTTTTCTGTGCTGGGGCTGGTCATGGTGTGGATTCCTTATCAGTCAATCAGTTTTCTCTTTCGCTTGGGACCCAGGTACAGGACGGCTCCTCGGGGCTGTGAGGATGCTCTGCAGCGGCTCCTGTTATTTGGGTACCCCTCCTCAGTCCTCTCCCTCCTCCCTGATTTTCAAGCACGACCAGTAAAATTACATGTAGGAGCTTTTTTTCTCTCTAATCTTTTTTGACTGCATCATAGAGAAATATACTCCGAGACTTATATGTGAGGAACATACATATGCTCAGTAAAGACGGTAGATATATAAGAGGGCCTGCCTTGAGACACCATGAATCCCAGTCAGAACTGTTTTCCTTGTGACAGGGCGACAGTGGCCCATAGAGGGAAGGAGAAAAGGTGGCTGTTTCTCTTTGAAATGTGAATCAAGTCTAAATCCCTACTTTCATAGTCGTCCATCCATAAATCATCTGATCGGGGGGCTCGTATTTATGTTGGGAGAGTACCTGAGGCATTTTATAATGCAGATTTCTGACTTACTTTACCCTGAGGTTTCAACCATTACTGCCTGATAATCACGTAAGGATTACACATTTAATGTGTGGTCCTCACAACATAGCATAGAGTTTCGACCTGGTTTTAAAATAGAGTTTTTGGACAAATTCCCAAACTAATAAGTAAAAGAGTTAGCCATTATGGGAATTAGGAACTACTTGCTGATCATTTCATCTGAGGAGGAGGAGGGAATCCCCTGCACGAACTTGAATTCATTTGCCCTTTTTATCTGTCTTTTCCTGAAGGTGGGACCACCACCCCACGGGCCATTTTGACTGGCCATGACTACCCGATCACCTGTGCTGCCATCTGCGCCGAGCTCGGCCTGGTCCTGAGTGGCTCCACAGGTAAGTCGGTGGCACTGCCATAAACGTGTGCTGTTTGCTCCAGCCCTGTTTCAGGTGCGCAGTGTTCATCACACCACACATGGTTCTGTTTCACAGCCTTGCTCTAAGCGGGGAGGAGGGGGAGCTGGAGCAGGGACATCTTTGTATGTTTGTTTACTCTTCGGAGCTCTGGCTGGGCTGCTTCCGTCTCACACCTGAATGGAAGCGCCTGACCCATCTGTTCTAACTTCCAAATGCCAGGCTAGTCAGGAACCAGGATGGCGCCAAGAATGGCGTGGAAAGGTCTGCCCAGGGGTTCGTCCTAGCAACATCAGCATGTATTTAGACCACAGATACCAAGCAGGCATTCCAAGAGCACACACTTGGAACACACAAAAAGGCTCATCTCATGGGGAAGCATGGAGTATTGAGTCACCTTATCTATGTTTTGAACTATTATATTTAGTCTAGGTAACAACACTTATTAGTCAATTGTGGTTTTGAATGTTTTAGCTGGTCAAAACATTGAAACACTAGTGATGATAGCAAAAATCCTGTACCGACTGGAATTTTTACCTTCTTGTGCCCAACAATGTCACATACCCTTAGCTGGCATGAGGTTTTGGACTAGATGTGGTTCCCATCAGCTGTGTAAATGAACCTGTCACCCTGCAGGCTGTCCTAGCTTTGCACCGAGTGTGAGACCATGCACATGACAATACAAGCTAAAGCCGGCAAAGTGAGTTTAATGATCAACAGGGAATTTTATGATCGGTCCATGGCATTTTTAAGAAGGTTCTCAAAACATTAAAAATTCTTTATACACACATCTGCATACATGCACGTACATATACACGGACATGAAAGGGTGGGAAGAACACACATTTATTAGTGTACTGTCATTTAAAACAGAATTCACGTGTTTTCTTTGAGAGAACCTTCTCAAGAGCAGTGCTTGCCGCTTTCTCTTCATAGAACAGGACGTGGAGAGCGAGCCTGCCAACCTGACCAGTCTCACACTCCTTGCCTTCGGGACTCCTTTAAAGGGAGGGCCTTTGCTGGCTTCCCTCCTGGCCTAATGATTTCACAGAGTAGTTTGCACGTATGTGGCTCAGCTCGCTCCTCTCCCAAGACCGCGGCACGCACAGGGCCTTGTGCACAGTGGCACCGGGAAGCTGTCCTTTTGCAGACTTTCTGGGACGCGCTTTGACCTGTGCTCACGATTCGCTTGCAGTGGGCTGTTCCCACTTCAGAATTAATCTTGCGTTTTGTTTTCCCCTTTCTCAGAAGGACCGTGTCTCATACATTCCATGAACGGAGACTTGTTAAGGACGTTGGAGGGTCCTGAAAACTGCCTGAAACCAAAACTCATCCAAGCTTCGAGAGAGGGCCACTGCGTCATCTTCTACGAGAACGGGTTCTTCTGTACGTTCAGCGTGAACGGGAAGCTGCAGGCCACCATGGAAACAGAGGACAACATCCGGGTGAGTGCCTCTCAGACGCTTCAGGATTTGAGATACTTACCTCAGAGGGGCATGTGAGGAGGGGAGAGGGTTCCATAAAGAAGCCCCTTCTGAGATTCTTTCCCTGCATTCCCTCCCTCGAGGCAGCACCCAGGTGAGGCCCGTGTGCCCTGCCAACCACGGCATGTCCCAGCTGTGCCGACTGTGTTGCTCAGTGTGGGAGCCCTCAGCTGGAGAGGCTGGCTCGCCAGGGCACGGGCTCAGTGTTTTTGTATCTGAGCATCAAACTTAAAATAATGCAACAGAGGACATCTAGACCTGTCTGCTCGTTCTAGGTGGGGATAAGGACTATTTAGGATTAGCATCTGGCTCCAGACTTCTCCGTGGAGGACGAGACCCAGTCTTGCCAAGGTGACAGAGTTGGATTTCACATTGTGATTTGAATTAGGCAAACTTTTTCCCATTTTGCTGTGAAGAAACGATAATGCTAGTGGGCCTTCCAGGGTTTCACTTCCTCTTCAAGACAGGGCTCCCTCAGGACTAGGTAGAAGGAGGGAGTAAGGACTGCCATTTGGAGAAGCTGTTTGCAGGTCATTGTCCCACCTCCTGACCTGCTGGTGGAGGCTGCTGTGCCCAGCCACTGCTGTTCCTGACCAGGGCGGCTTAGAGGACACGTTCTCGCAGATCTGGTCTGATCACCCCTTCTCGCAAGTAAAACCCTAGCTATAGATTACATGAACTCAGGGGCACTTGCTGCTCCTTTATTCTGGGCTGGGTTTCTTAATTCACTAAGTAGCATGTCTCTCTCTCCACGTGTCCGCGCTGCATCCGCCTCTGCCACAAAGGCAGGCGGGCCTCTCTCTGCTTTCACTTCCCCTCCTCCCCATAGCACTTCATTTAAACCAAGTACCCATCAGAGGGCTGCCTTTCCTCTTTGGAATAATAATGCTGACCATCTATCACACGGAGTTGCGATTATATTGTCAGCTACGCTAATAAATCTGTAAAATCATTTGAAACCCCTGGCTTCCGGGGCTCTCAGGACCAAGGCTCTGGCAGTGCCTGGAGGCGGTAGTTGGCTTCCTACAGACTGTTTGTTTACACTAGTTTTCCTCTCTCTCCTATAGCCATTGCTTTTCCTCCTCTAATATTTCCCACTGGGTTTCACGCTTAAACAGCCCATTGCTTTTGCACCAGCACTTTTGTGCTTTATCACACTAATTGTAAGTGGTGGCACTCTGTGATTAGTAAGCTTGCCTGGCAGGGAAAAGTGGATAAAAGAGGAGAGAAGAAAGACAAGGAGAAACAAAAAGAGAGGGTAACAGAGAGTGTAGTGGATAGGGAAAGGAGAGCATAGAGAAAAGGCTGAGAGAGGAAGAGTTGGGTGAGGGAGAAAGAGGAGAAGGGGGAGAGGACCCAGGCAGCAGGCACAGCGTGGAGACCCTCTTACTTCAGGCCTGATGGTGTGCTCACCCCCAGCATAGCACTTGGGATTTCAGAGGATTGAACCCTCATCTCAACCCCTCCTGGTGATGAGGCGCAATGTTAGCGTTGAGGTCTCCCCGAGTGCTGGTCTGGGTGGAAGGCAGGGCGCTGGTCAGGAGAATTGGGCAAGTCCTTCCCGGGAAAGGCCGAGAAGACATCCTCTCCCTTATTAAAATGTCCTGGATGGTCCTAAAAGTCCAAGTTTAAAGTAATTTCAAACAAAACTAGGATTAGAGATTCTTTACTAAAACAGAGTTAAAGATTAATGGTTTTAATTTATGTTTTTATATAGCACTTACCCAGTAAAAAGCCTCAAGCATAAAACTCAAGTGAACCACAACCAGAAGGTTAATGGGTTTTCATCAGCTGGATTCTATAAGTGTAGCAAATGATTACCTGTCCCAGACTCCCTTGCAGGTCCCGACCCCCGGAGACGGCCACTCGTGAAATGAGGGGAGGCAGAGGATATTGACTTTTACTTAGAGAAATCTTACTGTTCACATTTGGTTTAGATTTGGAGGATACTTCTTATATGTAACTACCTTCCACACTTGGGCTTTTATATCTTAGATTTTTGTGAGAGTAAGCCATATTTAAGGGACCACTAAAAGTTGGCGTTTATGTGAATGTGAATTGAATGGCTATGAGACGATCCTTACGATGATTTTTAAAAATTTGGCAAAGAGTAAATTAAAGACTTAAGGCAACTGTACGGAAACAGAGCATAAACATTTATCAGAAGTTACAGGTATCCTTCCGGGCTTGCTAGCACAGTCTGTATTCCCAGGCCCGTGGTGTCCAGATGGGCGTATCACAGATGGCTGCAGTGACTTGGAGCACTCTGTGTCCGCTCCTAAGAAAGGCGATGGGTCTTCCTGAGCTAGGGAATGGAGGCTCGGAGGGCAGTGCAGATAGGAGTAGCTGCAGGGGTGGGAAGGACAAACAGTAAATATGGTGAGCATTGCAGGCTCTGTAATCTGTTGCAATTAAGAGAGGAGCCATAAAGGAGTGGGTGTGGCCAAGTTCCAACAACCCTTGTTTATGGGCGCTGAAATGTGGAATGCATGTAACTTCCCACCTGTGATGAAATTTTCTTTTATTTTTCTCAACCATTAGAAAATGCAGACAGCCCTATAAAAGCAGGCACTGGCCTGCCTCTGCCCCATTTTACAGGATGGCTCCCTGTCTGCCCCGGGCAAGAAGAAAATGCTCAGCCTGGGGCTGAGGACCCGGGAGGCGGGGTTCCTGCCACATTGTCCTCCCCGCTGCTGTGAAGTAAAGGTCCTGCAGGCAGCAGCATTTCACTGGGGACGCGAGTCAGGAGCTCTGTCCGCCCGGCCTTGGTACAAAGCGTGCTTAGTCAGTGCCCCGGACACCTGCCGAGATGCCCGGACTCCTCACTGTCCGGTGCTGGTCCTAGTCCACAGTGTGCAGCTGTGAAAAGCATCTGTAGCACTGGAAGCGTCTGCCACCTCAGCCTTAAAAAGGAAAACTCAAGCATGGCCTAACCGTCCATTGATTTTTTTTTTTTTTTAAATGGCAAAAGTTTCCTGATTCCCGATTTCCTGACACTCAGGAGCCACACGGTCTCTCCCTTCTCCCTACGCTGTAGTGCAGTCTCAGGTGCGCTTTCCCTGGAGCCACATCTCACCTGAGCATTGCTTTGTCTCACAGGCCATCCAGCTGAGCCGGGACGGGCAGTACCTGCTCACAGGAGGAGACAACGGCGTGGTCATGGTCTGGCAGGTGTCTGACCTCAAGCAGCTCTTTGCCTACCCGGGCTGCGATGCCGGGATCCGGGCCATGGCCCTGTCTTACGACCAGAGGTAACACTGCAGTCAGGTCTGCTCACGGTGGCGGGAATTTTAACGGGCTGGGTTGGGGCTGTCACCTGAGCAATGAAAAAAGCCAGTGAATAGTGGGGTTTCCAGGATACTGTGAAAATATGTGGTTTCCTTTCTGATGACACACCCCCCCGTGGAGAAAGGTTGACTTCTCCAGCAGTGGACATGCGTCACATCTCGGGTTAGCCTTTTGTGTTTCTTCAAGTACCTTTAATGCAAAATGCCTGGGTCTCTGTTCATGAGAATTCCTACACACTCCCAAGTGGGAAACTTGGGGGCGATCGTTTTTATCTGGTTTCTCATTGCCTCTTAATATAAGGTGACCAGACGCACCGCTTTTGGCGGGACCGTCCCGATTTTTAACCATTTGTCCCGTGTCCGCAGAGTTTTTAAATCGGGACTGTTTTAAAACGCTGCGGGACGCAGGACAAATGGTTAAAAATCGGGATGTCTGGTCATCTTATCTTAATAAACAGACACTCATTTTAGTTCCTAATTGTTTTTGGGTGGCAACAGTTTTCCTGAAAGCCACCTTTTGGTGTACACGTCCGTGGCCTTAAGTCCATTCACAGTGTTACGCTAGTCTAACCGCCACCACTGTGTTTAGTGAACTTGTCGCTTCTAACACACCTCCTTGTGGACTGAGCTTTCTGTGGATACCTAGTGCCCTTGTCTCTCCTCACAGGCTTTGACTGGAGGACAGTTTTTGTTTTTTTCATTACTGTTTGCAGGAATGTCTTTTCCCATCCTTTCCCTCTAGCCTGTTTGTCTCTAGGCCTAAAGTGAGTCCCTCATAGACAGCACATATTTGATCATGTGTATCTGAGCTTGTGTAGCGGCATCTTAGTTCCTGGTTTTGCTGTGAAGTGGTAGGGAGGATGCTGAATAGGATCTCACGCCCTGCACAGGGTCAGTAAAGCAGTGTGCCCCCCCAGGCCCCCCACACACACACCTGCAGCGGTCACCTCAGGAAGTCACTGTGTTCTGAGACCTGGGCCCTGCTCAGAGCGTGATGGACAGGACTCTCCTGCGGAACAGAGCCCACGCCCGGCCACACGGCCCCCTCACTGATTCTCTACCTGCGTGCACCTCGCCACCAGCAATGACAGAGACCCATTGTGGCAGCCAGGCCTGCTCACTGACTCTGTTTTCTGTAAAAGGGAAGCTGTGGCTTGGCTCTTGGTAGAATGGCGGAGGCGGCACTGGAGTTTACTCAGGGCTGCATTTTAGTCATTAAATCACGTACCTTCGTCGGCACATACTGTAGCTCTGACCGCCAACTTCTCCTTTACCTGAAGAGTTGGGAAGGGCAGCTCTTTCTGTAGCAGCAGATGCCTCTGGACTGAATTAGGTGTGTGAATCCCTCTCCTCCCTGCTCTTCCAGGTGCATCATTGCCGGCATGGCCTCAGGAAGCATCGTTCTCTTCTACAACGACTTTAACCGGTGGCATCACGAGTACCAGACCCGCTACTGACGGGCCAGCCCTGCTCCCAGCCCAGGAGGGGACGCCCTGGGGCGTCCTTCCCTTAGGAACAGCGAGCACATCTGAATGTAACCTGAATTTGCTCAAAGAAGCAAGATATTTTTAAAAGTTAATTACTATTTTTGTAGACTTTGCTTGACTTTTTGGGGGGGAGGGGAAGTATATAGCAAAGCAGAAAACTGGCTGCTGGGTTCTGTAGTTTTAAAAAAAAATCTATATATTTTTAGTCATAATGAGAAGTCTATTTTCACCAATTATGGAAAATATACATTGGAGTGAGTAAACCCACTTATTCTAGCTACATTATGAAAAAAACAAACAAAAAAACAACAACACATTTCCCATTTATCTGTAATCTTGAGAAAGCTATGATTTTAACAATAGGAAAATGGGTTATACTATTGGGATAGGGGAATTTTATGCTATACTTTGGGTCCTGTAATTTTTTTCCAAATAATTGTGCTTCTTATGAGCTGAACTTTCTGGGATTTAAATAGTAATGTTTAAGTTATGCTACATGTAATTTAAAACATCTCAATGAGTTATTTCTATCGATATTCTTCTTCAAGCATGTTATAGACCTAGAAAATTATGGTTAGGGGGGAGCAGTTTTACTGTGTGGTTAACATGAAAGGATCTAACATTATAGCAAGGGTGAACTATCTGCAATGTTTTCCTGATTTGCCGTCTTCATGGCACACCAAAGTGAAATGATGGCAATGTTCTTGGGCTCACAACTTTGTTTTTCTTTGAGTTGCAAGTACCAAAGGTCCCCCCTGAGGTGTGACTGTGCCCAGCACTGAGGCCAAGCCCCCGACACCCACCCCCACCCCCCACCCCCCCGGTCTGAGGACAGAGGCTGCCAGGTGCTGTATCGAGTAACACCCGTCTTACCTTCTCTTTGTTACTGGACTATCTTCACCTCCTTTTGATCAGCAGTTTATACTAAGAAACAATGTTATTTTGGTGTTGTATAATTCTACTTTTCTAGTAGACTGCTGTGTGGGATTCTGTGAAAAATATTTGAGAAAAGGTCTGTATTACATAAATAAACTCTTTGTATGTTGTGAACTTTGACATCCCATCTCTGTTTCTTTTGCCACTTTTACCTTTTCTGCACGCTCTGCTCTGCTCTTCTCTGCCAGCCAGGACTGGGAACAACTCAATCTGACAGAGAAGTTAAATGCCACTGTTTACTGGGTTGTTGGAAATACCTTTTCACTCCTAATTTTAAGACATTGATAAATCAATTATTTACCCCCCAAAATGTCTGTTTCAGTCACAGATTCTGAACAACCAATAAGAGAGAGACCCTTTTGAATAAAACCTTCTGTGGCTGCCCTTTTCCATTCAGCCCCACGAGCAGAGTGCATGGGCCAGGCAGGGCCTGAGCACACACACTTGGTGCCCAGGGTCCTCCCACTCCTGTCAGAGGGTCAGGGAGATGGCAGAGATCGCCAGGCCAAGTTCACAAGGTGGCCAGAGATTCCCAGATGCAGCCGGACCACACATCTGCTCTGCACCCTTTTCAGCAAATACAGTGGTGTCCAAACAGCGGATGATATAACTGGTCTACCAAAACGGGAATCAAAGGGAGAGAGTTTTAGTAGGTGTCTTCAATACCTTCTAACTGGCTGTGATTTCAAGAGCTCCTGGCCACACAATTGCAGACCTACCTGGTTTGGCCCTTCTCTGCGTCAGCCCTGCCCCAGTCTCCAGTCCTGCTAGGGAGCACAGAGGCCAGGGTGAAGGTCCCTCTGCAGCCAGAAGCAGGGTCTGCACAGCTGGAAGGATGTCTGCACAGCTGGAAGAACCTCCACCGAGCAGAGAAGCCTTGCATGCTCCGGTGTGTGTCCCAGGTCACAGAGGAGCAAACCGGCCGGCCCGTAGCCTCACGTCACCACGTGGCACCACATTGGGCCACAGCACACTCACAAACAGAAAGGAGGGGACAGGACTTAAATCTCAAGACCTGCATAACCTACGTGTCATCAGCACAGGCCAGGGCCTCTCCTCAGCTGTTCCTGCCTCGCCCTGAGAGAGGACTGAATGCTTCCTACTTCCTCCAGGTGAGCAGCCTCCCTCCCTCCCTCCCTCCCTTCCTCCCTCCCTCCCTCCCTCCCTCTTTCATGGCATGCTGTGTGATGTTAAGTCCAAAGGCATGGCAAGTGAGTGCAGGGGAAGCTGGGAAGTCTCACACTGTCCTAACTTATAAAGGAAGGAAGGACCATATGTAGCAAGTCAATAAAACAACAAAATAAAGATTCTATTTCCTCTCAGCTGAGTAGGAGAAACCTCTCGGGGATTTTCTTAGAGGTGGAAAGTGTGGTCCATGATGCATTTCCCAGGTTCCCGGGAGTCAGAAGATCACTATTTAAAAAGCTCAAGGCCACTCGCTATCCATGACACTGACACATCACTGCCAGCCCTGGCTGCTGTGAACCAGAAATGCAGATTGCTCTCACCAGGGGACATCACATTTTTCTCTCTAATGAAACCAGGGTGGCTGGGCCTCTGGGCAAGCTATCTTCCCGAGACAGGCAGGCGCTCGGCCTTACAAGTGTGCCTGTGAATGCTGAGACCTCCGCAGTCATGTGCCAGAAACATGAATTATGTTTCTCTCTCGGGTTCAGGGATATTTTTCTTTGCCAAAACCAAGGTTTGGGGGCAGCTGGGAAGGCTTGTGGTTTCCCCAGACCTGGCAGGAAGCAGCTGGCTGCTCTGCAGCTCTGGGCTTGGATCAGTGGAAAGACATTCTCCAGACCTGACTCCAGCCTCAGCACAGGCAGGTGCCCGTCCTCACAGCTCGCCCAACCCCACTGCAGGCCTCTGGCGCCCAGTGCCGCCCAACATGGAAGGACTTGTGCTGGGAAGGGCATGTCGGTTACAAGTGGCTGTTACTGTGCCAGATACACCCCTTTCTTCCCCTCCCATTCAATGGTGTAACTCCTCCCCGCAGGTTTTATCACCAGGCAGCTCTTTCAAATGCCCGGGCAAGCACACATCGGCCTCCCTCCAGAGAAAGTATAATACTTCCACTCTCTTCCTCAGACAGGCCCCACACACTCCTGCTCCCATAACTCCTGCTCCCATCACCACTTCCATTTTCTACCCGTTTGTCAGGTATGTTGCCACCCACCATGCCTCTGCCTTCCGACACAAACGACCCCTCCAAAGCACCCGTGACCACCTAAGGGGACCGCCCAGCTGTGAGATCAGCTGCCCTGGCAGCCGAGAGCCCGTCCCAGCTCCCGCACGATGGCTTCCTGACCCCGGGAATCTGCATTAGTGAACGGGGATATGAGCGTCTCTCTCGGGGCTGCAGTGTGGCTCAGAGACAGGATGGAATGCTCTGTGGACGGAAAGCTCCCGTGGTGGTGATCAGTTAGCATCTAGGCATCAGAGGGTCACTCCTTCACAACGTAGCTCAGTCTGTCCCTGGGGTGCCCTGAGGTTAGACTCTTCCTCCGGCTGTGCACTCACCCCTGACCCCTCGAGCTCCCACCTCCCAACCTCAGGCCACTATCCCGAGCAACAGAGCAGGCCTCAGCCACAGGCACCAAGCAGGTGTGCCCTGGTTTTCCTGACCCCTGTCCTCAGCTGCCAGGGCTCCACCCCTCACCACGCGGGCCACCCTCGACCTGCACTGCCTGCACTGCACACCTCCAAGGCCCAGAGCGGAACTCCACCCCAGGGGGGCTGGGCCAACACTGCCCACAAACGCACAGACTTCTCACAGCGCGGTTCACCTGGTGCAGCAGCGACCCCGCAGTCCTCCACGCCCAGGACGTCCCCAGGCGGCTCTGTCATCGCACACAGGGCTCACCCTTGGGTCTCACCCCCAGGACTGCACCGGTGAGCCCAGTTGCCGAGGTCACTGACCATCAGCTCACCCACTAAAGCGATGGGGAAGCCATCCTTCTGCATCACCACTCACCTCAGATGCCGAAAAATAAAAGAACAGAGACGAGGGCTGTGGCCTCTGCACTGTCCGGTGCGGCCCCAGGTGGCTACCAGGACTTGAAGGTGCCTAAGCCCCAGAGATGTGCCGTAACTGTCAACACACACCGACTTCAAAGACTTAGTGCCCCCAAATGGAACATATCTCAATGTTCCTTGCATTGATCACACATTGAAACCATACTTTAGACATATTTAGATGTACTGCGTTAAACAAAACAAAACATACTATACCCTTCATTTCACCTGTTCCTCTTTACTCTTGTTTTTGAATCAGGTACCAGGAAGTGTCCAATGATGTGGCTTCCGTTGCATTTCTGTGGGACGGCAGCTGCTCCAGGAATCTTTCTCTGAGACAGCATGGTCAGTCAGCAGTCTCTCTTCTCAGATGGTTCACCTGCTCTGAACTGTCTTTGGGATCTCCTAATTCACATACCGCAGACTTACCTGTGAAAATACTCTGGGCAAGCTTTGCCAACTGCTTTTAACCCATAGATTCCTTATATTTCCAGATCTCCGCAATCGTTAGGAAGGAGACACACACTCACTGATTCTTGGCCCCGCTGCTGAGCCCGGCTGATGGCTTCGCAGGTCAGCGCTTCCCTCTTCCTACCCCTGGTTAGGGGTCAGTTTCTTTGGGCGCTGATCACCTGCTCAGGTAAAGGAGTGAGCATAAAGCAGGCGCGGGCCAGTCTCACTGTGCAGGAGTGCAGGAGCCCAGCACTAACCTTCATTCTGGGCGCAGAAGAGCTCAATCAATGTCCCCTAAATGCATGGCCGAGCGGCCAGTGTGCCTGTGGGACTGTTACCTGGGATCGGTATTCAGATGGCCACGCACTCCCAGGCCCTGATTTGCACCTGGAGGACAGGAACCACCAAACGGGACCTCCAAAACAGACACTGACACCTGCTGAACCTGGGCCTCTGTCCACATGAAACCTCTGCCCACCCCCGCGAGTTTTTCTCGGTAAGGAAGCGTTTATTGCAGGAAGGAGGCTCTGGCACCGGCAGGACCTACGATAGTTTTGAGGCTGTCTCCCGCCCATTCTATGACCTGGGTTCTATCACCAAGGTTCTTGGGCTGCTCTGTCCACCCCACACTCCGCTGTAGGTGTTGGGGGATAAAGATTCCGTAAGACCTGCCAGGACACGCCGGGCCCCCGTCACTCCTGGCCCATGCTCCTTCCTTTCCCTGGGCCGTCCCCACCCCATCACACATTCCTGACCTCTTGCGGGTGGCACAGAGGGCGGGAGCATGTGGCAGAAAGACGGTGCTACTTCCTTCTGCCACCAGCGACTGGCACTGCCCTGGCCACTTATTAAGTCTTTTGCAAATATCTTTGGACGTCACAGCTGAAAGGCCAGGGTCAGGCTCCAGGGTCAGGGCAGTGCCAGAGGCCTCGTGCCATCACGGTTTCATTTCCTGCTCCTCCCTTTATGTGACTTTCCCCTCCATTAACAAACGTAATTTAATTGGACACTGCGAAGAGAGATGAGCAGTATGTTCTAGAGCCGTCCATCCCAGCTTTTTGGAACCCGCCCTCTTCCTGCTTTAATGGGAGCCGGTACCTGCCACCACTGCGGGCCAGGAAGCCGGTCTGTATTTCCCTACAAGCCTCTCCATCCAGGGGCCGGGCCAGCCCGGGGATGAGTCCCTGCAGGATCACCTCACCCGTCATCCCTACAGCAACTGGAACAGGAGATCCAGAGCCGGCCTAGACGGCTCCGAGGCCTGGGTTGCACAGCCTTGAGCCCTGGGGGCAGGTGCAGGGCCGTGGCCTGAGCTACAGGCAAGCGGACGTTACAGAGGGGGAAAAGCAAGAGCCGAAATGGAGCAGAAGCAGAGACAAGAGACCGCACAATCAGAGAGAGAGAGAGAGAGGGAGGACACCTGCCCTGGCCACCCATGGCCACAGAGCCTCACCTTCCTGCCGGCAGGTTCTGCACTGGCCATGCCGGTGATCCCCTGTAAGCAGCTTCTGCACCTGAAAGAAACCGGCTTCGACCAAAACACACCGTCTCCCCCAGCGCCACCTCCCAGCCCCGCATGGCCCCGAGACCTCCAATACAGACCCTGACACCTGCCGCCCCCTGGGCCTCCGACCCTTGGAGAAATGACCACACAGAAGCCTCTGCCCACCCCGGCGGCGAGCTTGTCTCAGGAAGGAAGCGTTTATTGCAGGAAGGAGGCAGGAGTCTAACAATGCGAAGGGACTACGGGGCCCACAGGGTGAGAAGAGGAGGAGCAGGGAGAACAGATACACGGGCTATGTACAACCATTAAAAAGAGCAGGTGGTGGAAAACAAGGGAAAACTGCCAGCAGCCTCCCAGGAGGTTAGTAATAGAGGGGGTGCCTGTGCCCGGTGCCCCGTGCCCGGCGGCGGCTCCGCGCTGCCTCCCGGCTCCGGGGGAGGCTGGGCCCGCGTCCCGCTCGCTCCCGGGTTCGGAGCCCGCGATGCCGCAGCGCCAGGCCTTCCATCCAAGCCCGAGGCCAACTTTATTAGCGTTTTCAGTTCACATGTGGGAGGAGTGGAGGGGAAACACACAATGTCCAGGGGAAAGAGTCCCCTCCCTTGGGCTCCGTGTACAAATAAATACCCAGTGTTGTCGCCGCGAGCACGGGCCTGGGGGGTCCTGTCCGGGCGCGCTGTCCTCCCGGTGGGATCCTCCACGGAAAGCCGGTCCCCGAGGTCCGCAGGGAAGCCCAGCGCCTCCCCCAGGACACCCCCACCACCCGGGGGCGGCCGCAGCCCCAGGTTCCCGGTAAGAAAAGGGGCGCTCGGAGCCGCGCGGAGCTCCTTCAAGGAGGGGAAGGTGGTCTTGGCTCATCCAAAGTGTTTCTATAAAAATGCATCGTATGCTGGAAAAAAAGTTGCACATTCTGGTGACGCTATGAAAGGTCCGTGGAACCGAAATTCAGGTCTTTTAAAACCAGCCGCTGCGAACGGGTCACCAAAGCTGCCGCTGCCCGTGTCACCCCGGCCGGAGGGCAGCGCGGAGGGCGCAGCGAGGGGGTCAGTCCCGGTGGCGCCGCCAGGTCCCCGCGCGCTCGCAGCCCGGGCCTGGGGCGCAGGGGCGCGGCGGCGGGGACTCCGGGGCGCCGGGGGCCTCCTGGGCGGAGGGAGGCATCGGAGAGGCGGGCTCCGGCCCGGGCCGGCCGCCGTCCTGCCAGTGTTTGCTGCCGAAGATCTGGCCCTCCTTATCTAGAGCCGTGTTCTGCGGAGAGAGCGGGGACAGCGCGTCAGCCTGCGGCCGGGGCGGCACCACCACAGCGCGCAGAGCATGCAGGGCTCAGGGACAGAGGAGGAGAAATAACCGGCCTCTCCTGGCAGAAGCCCGCGCACCCACAGGCTCAGGGCCCTCCCCTGCGGCTCCCTGGGCGCCCCTGCGCCCTGCATGGCGGCTGCGGGGACTCTCCTAGGGGACTCTCCCAGCTCCGAGCTGCACATGAGTTCTGAGAGTTTCTTCCGGGGCCCAGACCTGGAGCCCAAAGGAACCTGCTTCCATAAGCAAACCCTAGGACAGGGGTCGGCAAACTCATCTGTCCACAGAGCCAAGAATCAACAGGACAATGATTGAAATTTCTTTTGAGAGCCGAAAAACGACTTCGGCGCATGGCCCGCGAAGTTTCAATCGCACTGTGCGCGCCAGCACGTGGTATTTGGTGGAAGAGCCACACTCATGGGGCCAAAGAGCCGCATGTGGCTCGAGAGCTGCGGTTTGCTGACCACTGTCCTAGGAGAAGGTTAGGGCTTTGACCGTGAACCTTGCTCCAGAAAGCTCTCCATCTCGGGTGGAAAAGCTACTCGTGGGTCATACACCCCACGCGGCTGCTTACACCATGGAAGGTCTGGGGGCCGATGCTGCCACAGCACCAGTTTCAGATCCTCCACGATCCCTGACCTGCCCTGCTTTATCTCATCGCGCCCCAACTTTTCTAATCTGCTCAGCCATCGGGGAGCACAGCGACAGCCCCAAATGGTAAGAAATCACCTTGCTTTCTGGCCCTACCCTAGGCGGGGAGACTTTCCCCTCCTCTGACTCACTTTGAGGATTCCTTGTTTGTCCAGCGGGACCCGGTCAGCTCTTAGGCACCTAGCTAAAAGGCACAGCCATCAGAAGGCGTTTTGTAACCTAACCACCTTGGGGGGAGGGGAGGAATGTACCCCGGATTCCCTCAGTACTCTGACTGAAATAATAAAGAAGTCTGGAGGAAATCTGAATCATCACAGGGCTTTCTGAGAGAGGGGGGCGGCTGCCTTAGGGCCCTTGGTGTCAGCGGTCCATGGGCCCTTCCGAGCTCAAGCTGAACATCGGTAATTTCTAAGGACCATTTCAGTGACCGAGCAGAGGTAACTGTGGAAAAGGCAAATCAGATCCTTAGTGTCGCTCTTCCACCAGCTTCCCGCCCCCAGCCACCCCTTGCAAGAACATGGACCAGGCGAGAGGCAGCCTTCAGTTTTTTCTACCCCAGAATTTCTGCTGATAGAAGAAACTGCCAGCCATCCCGTTATTTCTCCTCTTCTCTTCCTGTGGATGCAGTGGAACAAAGCATCGCAGGCAGTTAGTACATACCATGGCCTTGGACCTAGTCAGAGGGAGCAAAGGCAGGCGGCGGGGAGGCAGGAGAGGGGGAGAGAAGCAGGGACAGAAACTAGACTTACTTTAAACAGAAGCAACACGATTGAAACAGTTTTGTCTGTCTTAAATTAAGCCCAAATCATTCCCAGATTACACGGGAAAGCAGCATAATCCCCCAGAGCCGAAAGCACTCTGGTTTGCATTCATGGCTCCTCAAAGTCAAGATTCCATGGGAACCAGGTTTCTAGGAGTTCCCTTTTATGCCACAAGGTGGCGCCATCAGGTCCCCAGGCTGGGAGGAGCCCAATAGCTCCCTGAGCAAATGCACTGACTTGCCCCTGGCTAAGGATCAGTGGAGAAATGCAAGTGCAATCCAAAACAGCAGGCCTGTCTTACACCAAAACCTATCCAATAGAATTCTCTTCCCTTATCCCAAAGGCTAGCTGACAGCTACACTGTCTTGCTGATAAAAACGCCATCTCTGGAAAAGTAGCTGGAGAAAGAGAGCAAAGGCCTCCACTAAGGTACCATCTTATGCTGTCACTCAAAAAAAAAAAAAATGCTTTTTCACAGAAGTGATGAAAAAAAAAAAACATTTATCAAGAGAACTCCTGGAGTCCTCCTCTGCACTCGCCAGCTGCCGTTCTGCGGAGCAGCAGGCGGTGTGGCAGGCTGGGGCGGCTCCCAGGGGTGTGCTCGGCTGGCCAAGAGGGTGTGAGCAGGTGCAGGAGACCTGCACCAGAAGCAGCGCTGGCGTCAGAAGTCTGAGAAAAGCGTGCGGATTTAGGGGGGCCGCGAGCGAGAGGTGCTCTGGGAAGCACGGCGTGGTGAATACCAGATTTCTGCTTCGGGAGTCCCCACAGCCTCAACTGGGTCAAGAGTGGAACTCAGAGGTGTGTCTCACACTGTCAAATCAAACTGTCAAACGAAACGCAGACATCAGCATCAACTGTACCTTCTTTCACTGGCATTCACCGTTCCTACCCTTTCATTTTCTCCTGGGAGCCTCAGGCACCAACGTGTTGTTTTTTGGGGGGTGGGGGGTGGGGAACATTAGGGGTGACAGTGGGTAGTAAGGCTCTGCCTGTCGGTTACACAACAGTTACCTGGGGCCCCACCTCCAACATGTATGCACCGTTCCCAGTACCGTCTGCATTGGCAGGAACCCTATCAGCCTCACATACTCCAGGTATGGAGAATGTATAACTACCAGGGAGATTAATTTGTGATTATTTTTAATATGGAAAACATTGAAAACTGTTCCCAAGGACACACAGACACACAGGAGAACGACACGGAAGCCTTGCAAGCTGCTCCCACACAACCGTGCCCCCGTCAGGCCCTCAGGTGGGTGAGGACAGTGACGGGAGTCACCCCTGCTTTCGGGGACCAGCCAAAGCTCACAGGCCGGCCCTCCGGCCATCGGGACTTGGTACCGCCAGAGACCAGCTTTACTGATCTCCGTAGGTGCTGAATGGGACCGTGTCCCTCAGCAGCTCCTCAGCGCTAACCACCTGCAGAGTTGTGTAGGGAGCACGGGGCTAGACAGAGCCCTGCCAGCATGCTCCGAGGGACAACGGAACACACGTGTGAGCACACGACGTTTACAGTCACCAAGGGAGTTACAGACGATAGCAGGCTGTTCATTCACAGAAACACCCAGTGAAAGCTCAGAAGTTTAAAATTTGACCGTGGAGGACTGGGTTCTGCCCGAGGGGGTCTCAGTGGCCTCACCCAGAACAGAGCCTGTGCAGGCTCCGGGGCAGGAGGCGGGGCCCGGGCCTCCGCCAGCGATGTCTCATGTCCACGTGGGCCCCGAGTCCTGTCCCAGGCCCTGGGCCCCGCTCAGCAAAGGCCCTTCCTCCAGGGACCAGGCAGCTTTAGTAACTTAGTTACTAGGTTTTAATTCTAACAAATCACTCATCCTAAGACTCTTCGTTATGTGTCAAGTGCGCCAATTTATAACGTTTTCCTGAATTTTCCCAGAAGCTGCCTAACTTCGGGGCATGTGGCAGGCTGCACTCCTTATCTCGTCCCCCATCGGGGAATCACTGGGCATGTGCTCCTGCTGTTGGCTCAGTCCAGGAGGTTCTTTTGTCATTCTCTCTCTCTCTCTCTCTCTCTCTCTCTCTCTCTCTCTCTCTCGTTCTCTCGTTCTCTCTCTCTCTCTCTTTCTCCCCTCTCCCCCACACCCATGTCTCCCTCTTCTCCCCATTCTCTTCTATCTCACCTTAGCTCCTCCCCCTCACCCCAGCCCGTTTGTTTTTGTTTTGTGTTTTTTTCTTTTGTCTCCATTTCCGTTAAGTCCCAAGGGCCCTTCTTATGCTGATCCTCTACAGTTCACTGCTTCTACCTCTGTGACTTTCTAAATAAACTTTCTATTACATTTTTTGGGGGGAAAGATGGTTCTTTTCAAAGCGCGTGAGCCACCATTCTGTGACAACGCCGCCGTTCTCAGGCTTTCTGCGAGCACGGCTGCAATGCCAGGAAAACCACAACTCAAGAGGCCTTCCCAGATTTTGGCACAGAACACCCCAAAGCCCTGAAACGTGTCAAAAGATCCTGTTTGCAGGCTTTTTCTGGAGGGGGGGGGGAGGGGGAAGCAAGCTTTCCAGCAGGGAGAGCTGAGGGAGGTGCAGGGACAATGGAGGGCTGCCAAGTGCACACAGCCTCCCCCCGGGGACGGAGGAGGGACAGACCAGCGAGGCCCAGAAGGTGGTGGATACCCAGCAGCTGCATTTCATCTTCACCGGGGAGGGGTGTGCTTCCACCCCAGCTTCCGTGGGATATCCTCAGGTTCCTAGACTACAGTGCGCCCGGGGAGTAAGCCATTGAGCTCCTTCCAGCTGGTCAGGAAGCACATCAAACCTGCCCAGGACGGGAGGGGCCTGTCCTGCCTGAGGAGGATGGATGGGGGTGGCCATCAGGAGCTGCCTGAGGTCAGGTGCTGGACCCCAAGGCTGTCAGGAGCGGCCTAGACGTTAACAGCTGGGGTGGCTGTTTCCCAGGAAGTCTGACTGTGAAGACACCCCAGCTGACTCTCTGGCTCTGCGGGGTAGGAAGGGGCCTGGGAGGGGTGTGGGCAGATGGAGAGGCCAGGCCCAGATGCCGGCCTGGGAGCGGGTGTGGGGCTGCTCAGAGCTGGCTGCGTGGTCCCCCTTTGCCAAGGGCTCGGTCTGACAGCGTGGCTGGGGGTGCTGGACGCCATTCTGGCTCAGTTTGGCCTGTTCTGCCCTTATTTCCTTTTCGCTGAACTTTCTCGCAAACTGGTTGTGTCTGTGGATTTCGGTAAACGGCCTGGAAAACGCTTTAGAAGAACGAAGGCCTGAAAAAATACAGCAGTCGTGCTCCTGACTTCTGACCTTCTACCCTGAAAAACACTAATTTCTCCACCGTGTTCTGTACTTTTCAAAACCACAAAAGGCTGATTTTTAAAAGTGGCATTTGTTTCACTTGGGCTGTTTCTTATTCTAAACCTGGAAGAATAATCCGCACCTCCAGTCACTATGTTGGAAGCCTGGGCCACGCAGAGAGTAGCTTCCTGGTGCTGTAAACCCCGCAGAGGGGACAGCAGCAGCCACCGCCCCGGGCACTGCGCCCGGCCTGGTCTCCCTGGGATCTGCACAATTCCCCGCGCCAAGCCCATCTCCAAGCGAGAGGAGGCCATGGAAGGCGCAGCTTCCATGGGCGGAAAGCTCCTGAGCTATTCCCTTCGCAAGTGTCAGGGGTGGCGGAGCCAGGCAGTTCACGGCGCTCCCGGGCGGAGCCGGGCCCGCTTACCATGATCACGGAGACCCCGGTGGTGGTGCTGTTCTGCTTGGGGAGCGCGTTGTTGAAGTGCTGCTTTAGTTTACCTGTCACCTCAGCCTGCATGTTGTTCTCCTGGCAGGCGTCATCCTGCGGAGAGGAATGGAACACAGCGGTGTGGATTCCTCCACGGCAGGCACACGCCACCCACCACCACCACCACCACCACCACCACCACCACCACCTCCTCTCCCGAACAGGCCATTTTAGCCACAGGGTTAGGGGAGCCATGACCTGTGAACAATGACCCTGTTCCTCTGCAGTGCTGGGCCCTCAGGAAGACTGACACCTCTCACCGGCTCCTGAGGGCCTGGCGGGTAAATTACCCCCCTTCCCCGCTCTGGGAGCCTCCCGGGCGAGGGGGTGCCGACTTCCCAGGGTCACTGTTCACGGGACCATGTCTGAACTAAACCCACAGTCGCCATGTACTTCCAAAGAACTCGTCAACAGGACACACTCTGCCCTCCTCCCGCCTGGCTCTGGAAGGGACTGTGCCTCACCCCCTCATGTGTCGGGCTCCTGTGGCCATGGCCTTGAAGACAGAGGGACCAGGGTCTGGAATATGCTCATCTCTGGCCAAATCCCGAAAACCCTCAGCCCGAAGAGCCACAGAAGGCAAAGCAGAAAGGCTCCTCAGAGGACATCCCAGCCAGCCCCTTCCTCCCGCAGAGCAGACAAAGCGGCAGGCAGTGGCTTGCCCGGGCCACTCACAGAGCAGAACCGAATACTCAAGGGTCCTGGTGCCACCCGCCTTAGAGAAGCCCTCGATGGAGGGAACAGGCATCTACCTGCTGTGGAAATGGGTGTGTGAGAGCCGTGGCAAGGAAGCAGCCGTGGGCCCTGGGGTGCACAGTGGAGATTACTCCAGGGAATGAGGGTACGTACCGACACCCAGGGGTGGCTCAGGATTTGCCCCGCAGTACACCGCGCTTCCACGTTGACCTGAAGCATCTGGCTGATTAGTTCCTGGAAAGAAATGAGGAAGACAACAGAGGTGACAAAAGGGCGACCATACCAGCACAAACTCAGAAATCTGAGTTTACACCACGTACTTCAAGGAACAGCCAGCACAGCTGCTCAGCCACTTGAGCTGAAAAGCTATTGTTGCCTCCGCTCCCGGCGCCCACCAGGAGGGGCCGCAGGCACAGCCGCCTCTCACACTGGCCACCCAAGGGGAAAGGTCTCTCCTGAGCCCGCCTCACGCCCAGATGTTCCCTCCGAAGAGTTCTGGTCCTTGCCACCCTCCCACAATGCAACACTGCGCTGCTATTTCTTTTGGCAACTCTGTCTTACAAGTCCACCCACACGTTCCGATGGTGCCTAGTGCGTATTTCTTGAATACATGAACAAACGTTTAGGACTTAAAGGAGCAAAGGAGGATGGCAGACACCTGCTGGGAGGAGAGCCAGGCCAGCTTCCAGGGCCTGGTTAACCGTGTCCAAGATGATACTATGGAATGAACTTCAGAAGAACCAAAGTTAAGAACAGACCTGGAGCTATTTTTTTTTAAAATATATTTTTTATTGATTTCAGAGAGGAAGGGGAAAAGAGATAGAAACATCAATGATGAGAATGAAGAGAGAGAAAGAGAAAAATCAATAATGAGAATGAAGAGAGAAATATTATGATGAGAATGAAGAGACAGAGAGAGAGAGACATCAATGATGATAATGAAGAGCGAGAGAGAATCATCAATAATGATAATGAAGAGAGAGAGAAACATCATGATGAGAATGAAGAGAGAGGGAGAGAAACATCATGATGAGAATGAAGAGAGGGAGAGAAACATCATGATGAGAATGAAGAGAGAGAGAAACATCATGATGAGAATGAAGAGGAGGGAGAAACACCTGAGAGGGAGATATGACTTGGCTGCCTCCTACAAGCCCCACGTGGGCTGAGGGCCATTGGACATGCCGAGCCCACGGATAGCTTGGAGGGTACCTTTGCGGAGTCCGTGATGTTATCCCAGTAGGGGGCTGGGAACTCGAGCTTCCCAGCCAGGATCTGGTCGAAGAGGTCTTCCTGGAGGTTGTTCTCACTGTTGGCGACAAAGAAACAGAAGCAGAGCCAAAGTCACCACCGAGTTTCCAACAAAACACTCCCGGGAAGGGCGGGAGCGGAGCCCAGCCTCAGGCACGGGCATGCCCCATCTCCACTGCACGTGTGACCACACACTTTCCCTTCAGGTGTGAACAGTGAGCGTGAGAACACTTCCAATGGCCGGGGAATCAGAGAGAGAGAGAGAGAGAGAGAGAAGGAGGGGGGAGGAGAAAAGAGGGAGAGAGGAGAGACCCACAAGGACTGAAGAAAGGTGCGGAGTGGGCACAGCTCAGCGTGGGGCGAGGAAGGAGGCCTGGGGATGGACGGTGGTGGTGGTGGCACAAAACTCTGGAAATGTGCTTCATGCCACGGACCTATATACTTAAAACGGTTAAAATAATCCACTTTGCTATGTATATTTGCCACAATAAAAAAGACAAGAAAGCCCTAGCTGGTTTGGCTCAGTGGATAGAACATCAGCCATCGGACTGAAGGTTCCCAGGTTCGATTCCAGTCAAGGGATTGGTCCCCAGTGGGGGATGTGCAGGAAGCAGCCAATCAATGATTCTCTCTCATCCTTGGTGTTTCTGTCTCTCCTTCCCTCTCCCTTCCTCTCTGAAATCAGTAAAGATATATACATATATTTTTAAAAAAAGACAAAAAACATGGACCCACGAATTATATAAATCTTCGTCCCAGGAACAAAAGCCACCTCAGCGTCTGCCTCACTTCATCGCTCAGGCAGTAAGAGTGGAAAAGCAGTGATGCTGAGTCAGATCTCCTGCCCTTCCTATTCCCCTTCCCCCACCAAACAGCCAGAGATAAGCGAAGCGGCCCCCACGGGAACAAATCACCCAGAGGTCAGAGTCGGGGTGGGACAGTCAGGACATCGTTGGCTCCCCTGGGAGCCTGACGTTCAGGTAAGCTCTGTGGGGAGGAGGAGCCCCTGGAGGACGTCAGTGAGAACTGCACAGGCTGAAAGGAGCTCTCCTCGCCGCCCAGTGGGCAGTGTCCTCACTGTCACTACCTGACGGTAACGGTGCAGTGGCTGGTGCCTAAGGAACACATGATGACTTGTGGCAGAAAGTGCCGGAAAAATGCAGCCATCTGACGTCCCCAGCTCCCCTGCCCCCCAGAACCTGCTTCTGCACAGCCACAGAGCCCCTCAGCTAATGGCCCATCCCTGGCCAGCGTGAGAACAACGTCCTTGCCTTTTAGGGTCATTATCAGGCCCCAGCAGAAAACTCAGTCAAGATCACAACCCAGTGGTGCCCAGTCCCCCGGCAGGTGTACAGCGTTTCTCCTAGATTCCAGCACGACTCGCGGCCGAGTGCACAGGGTGCCCATGTGCACAGGGTGCCCACCCACGGGCTCAGCCCCCAGCCCTGCCAGAGCAGCAGGGAGTGAGGTGTCCTCAGAGACAGGCCGTAGGACAGCACCCAGAGCCAGACTCTGGGGCGGGGAGAGGATGGGGCTATTTCATTCTTGTTCTGTGAAAGAGAGTAGTGTCTTTGAGGTTTGCAAATATCCATGACATCTACCCCAGCCCAGTACAATGCACGGCTGCTGGCCACGGAGCCTGAGTCAGCAGACACCCTGAGAAGCCAACGTCAGCCTGAAAACCGGGCAAGCACGAGATACCCACTGTGCTCCTGAAAAACGGTTTTCTTTGCATGTGGACAGAACTTTCTATTTGTGTGTTGTTTTATTGTTTTTGTTAAATATATTTTTTATTGATTTCAGAGAGGAAGGAAGAGAGAGTGAGAATGAGAGCGAGAGAGAGAGAAACATCAATGATGAGAAAGAATCATTGATTGGCTGTTTCCTACTGGGGATGGAGCCTGCAACCCAGGCATGTGCCCTGACCGGAACTAAACCCAGGATGCTTCAGTCCGCAGAATGATGCTCTATCCACTGAGCCAAACTAGCTAGGAAATGTAGTTTTTTAAGGTTTTTATTTATGTACTGAGTTTTAGAGAGAAAGGAAGAGACGAGAGAGAGAGAGAGAGAGAGAGAGAGAGAGAGTGAGAGAGAGAGAGAAACATCTATATGAGAGGGAGATATAAATTGGCTGCCTCCTACAAGCCCCCACTAGGGATTGAGCCTGTAACCCTGGGAATGAGCCCTTACCAGGAATCCAACCAGCAACCTTTCAGTGCAGGAGACGATGCCCAATCAATTGAGCCACACCGGCCAGGGCAGTGTTTCTTTCTAGATGTCTAAACGTTTTCTTTCTTTTTCACTTATTTCCTTACTGACTGCAGTAGGCTCAACTGTCCTTCAAAATAAGTGAAGGATGCACCTAAACCATAATGATGTCCTACAAAAACCTTTAGAAACCAGGGGACCCCAGGAGACGGTAGTAGAAGCTATAAAACAAATCACCTCTTTCCAGAATCATCCCCTTCATCCCTCTCTCATCTCCTTTTCTTTTTCTCCTGGAATCTCAAGTGACTTATATTCTGTTAATACATACGGCTTTTATTTTGTTAATAAACAGCTAAAACATGGGGAGTGAGTCTGTAGCATTCATTCCGGTTCTTGGGAAACAGAGCCTGAGTCAATAAACAGACCCATGGAATGTCCTGGCAATTAGGACTCACCCCAAGCAAACGGTTCAGGCTTCCCTCACTAAAAGAACAGAAAGCGAAAGATAGTTCATCCTTCTTCCTAGTCACAGAAGAAAAGCCACCCTGAATGTACACTGGGTTTATTACCACATGTACACGCCACAACCTGGCTAAGATGCTTTGGGGCACTTATCCTAAAACAAGACAGCTCTGAATTAAGGCGCTCTACATCTGAAAACGTGCATTAAGGAAAACCTCAAAAACAACTCTCTTCAGGGATGAGTCAAGGTGATGTCAAGGTCAGGTTAGGTTACCTGAGGATGTGGGTGAGCTCTTCTGCACGTGATGTCCAAACATTTCATTTATGGGCTGTGTCTGTTTTTTAAGAGAAACAAAACAGAAAAAGTCTCCGTCTAGTCATGCAAATACTACTTTCTGTCAGTGGCCCTAAAAACACTTGCTTAGGCAATAACTGTTGATTGCCTCTAGAAAACCAATATCCTGGGGGTGAGGAGATGGAAGGGAGAATTCATGCCAACCTAAGACCAAACAAAGCCTGGGAAAAGAAAAGGGAGAGACACTGGAGCTAAAGAAACGGAAACTGTGAACCACATGTAACAATTTCAATGAAAAGGCTTCGGGTTAACATGACCCTGGGGGTAAAGCAAAGACAACGTTTGAAAGATCTGTGCGAAGCACTTCTGTTTTAGGTGCACATTTATGCAGACCATCTATTTTGCACCAGGGCCCTTTATCATGATTTCCAGGGTCACTTCCATACTGTGCTCCCGTGCAGTTTGAATGAAGTCGGTCCTGGGATCTCTCCGGAAGGCCTCTGTGCTGCGAAGACGCTTCTGTAACAAGCACTTAACCTTCCAGAGTCCCTTTCATCGCAGCACAGGAAAGACAGGAAGCATTTCCATAAACTTCCCAAGTCAGCTACCTGGAGTTGTGAGCCCGGCTTCTGAGTATAATGTTTAAGGGCAGTAGCTTTACGACCTTTGATTAGCCAGGCTTAACTCCAAACCCTACAAAGAAGCTACTGTCCACTGGGTATCAAGTCACAAGAAGCACATACTTGTTTAATGTGAGCCTCACTTTTGTTAAAAACTAAAAAAAAAAAAAACGAAGTCCAAGGAAAAAACTCCCAGGCTGCACTGACAAGTGGAAACACTAGAGGGAGTTGTGAGCACACATTCCTCTAACACTGATCCCTCCCTGATACCCTTTTCTGATTGGTCTCCACTTGGGTCAACCATCACCAAGGGGAGTTACGCTGTAACTGGCCCCAGGATCACCATCTACCATAACACACTACCGCTTCAACAGTTCCCAAAACAGGTAATCTCATCGCAGAAACCAGCCAGGGCACCGCGTGATTAAAAAATGGCCACAAATGAGTCCCCTCCCTCTAAGCATGGGTCCTTCATCTTCTCCCACACTTGCTCTAGGCTTGGCTGTTAAACTTCAGTTGGCCAATAGGACACGGCAAATGTGAGGCAAGCGGGGGCTTGAAAAGTGCTCAGACAGAGGCACTTGCCCTCTCCTAGCTGCTTTGGAGAATCCTGAATCCACCGAATGGGAAACCCAGGCTAGCCCACTGGAGGCTGAAGGGCACACAACCAGGTCATATCTGTTATCCCAGCTCCATGGTTGGCAAACTGAGGCTCTCAAGCCACACACGGCTCTTTGGCCCTTTGAGTATGGCTCTCCCGCAAAATACCGCAGCCTGGGCGAGTCTATTTTGAAGAAGAGGCGTTAGAAGAAGTTTAAGTTTCAAAAATTTGGCACTCAAAAGTAATTTCAATCGTCGTACTGTTGACATTTGGCTGTGCTGACTAATGAGTTTGCCAACCACTGTCCCAGCTGATGCTGAGTCAACTAGCAAGCATGTGAGTGAGGTCACTCTGGGCCATCAAACCGCCACTGAGCCAACCCAGGCCAGACCAGAAGACCGACCAACTGATCCACAGAACCAATGGACAGCCCTAACTGCTGCAGTCATTTGTTATTCAGAAAAATGTTAAGTGATAGGTGCAATAATCCTACCATCCGTGCAACCCACCCGGGTGACGTCCTTGATGGAAGACCAGGATGCCCATGGGCAGATGGAAAGCTTCTGTCCCACCTGGAGAAACCCAGCCCATGCCACGAGGACAAGGTCCCACTCACCTCTGTGCCTTTCCCTAATGTTCGTGATTCCCAGCCCTCAGTCAGCATACCCCCAAGTTCTGTTTACTTTTCTTGATCCATATTCTTGCAATGTGTGTCGTGACCCCTAAGTCTCTCAAAAGGAGACGCTGACAGCTCTGTGCCACTCCCGTGCTCACGGTAGTGTCCGTAAAAACGGTCCACTCAGCTGAACGTCGATAATTTCAAAAAGATGAAACTTTCAACTTTTCTGGCTGTTTGAAATCCTTCATAATAATACAATGGTTGGGTGACGAAACAAGCCTGTTTTTCACATACGGACCGAACACCACACTGTCAATACCACGACCTCAGAGGATATGTTGTGTTCGCCATTTGATCCCTGACATTTAGAACAGCTCGTGGCACACAGCAGCTACTCCACAAGCAGTTGTAGAGTGAGCAAAAGAGGAGATTAAAATGAAAGAGCACTCGAGAAAGCCCAGAAGAACATCGAATGTGCATCAATCGGTAAGCTTCTGCTTCAAAGTCACTCCAGAGGAGGAGAAGGAACTGATCAAAAAGTGAGGGCCAAGCCGCATGTCAAACCTGTGCACACTCACTGCTGCGAAACAAGCATGCCGTGCCTCCGTGACACATGGTGACCCGCGTGTGCCCCCTCTGCTCCAGGGGCATGGCTACCAAGGACTCAATCCCTTTGTCCCCAGGCCTATTTTTGCTGAAAGTGTTTGTAATTCTACTCCCCTGAGCATTATGTGAGTGGATAAAATGAATGTTCTAAGTTCCCTGTTTCGATGGGAACTAGGCTGAATGCTTTGGAAAATGAGAGGTAAAAAAAACTAGGAAAAGGTTTTCCTAGCAGGATCAATCCGATTGCTTTGGAGGATCTTTAAATCTCACTCCCCTTGAAAATAACTGAGAACGGAAACTGCAGACACTGGACGATGGGTGTGGTTTACAGAAGAATGACCACAAGAAGCTCATACACAGCAAAGGCCCCGGCCTCACATCAGAGGTGTGGTCAAGGGATGTACATGAACAGGTTTGAGAATAAGATAAAAAGTGAGTCGAAACCGGTTTGGCTCAATGGATAGAGCGTCGGCTTGGGGACTGAAGGGTCCCGGGTTCGATTCTGGTCAAGGGCATGTACCTTGGTTGCGGGCATTCCCCAGAGGGGGATGTGCAAGAGGCAGCTGATCGATGACTCTCTCCCATCGATGTTTCTAACTATCTCTCTCCATTCCTCTCTGTACAAAATCAATAAAAAATATATTAAAAGAAAAAAAAAAGATAAAAAGTGAAAGGTGGGTCTCTGTAAGTTTTAGCTGGCATTGTCACTGACCAGCTCTGCTTCCTGATCCGGGTAGAGGGTTTACAATTCAAACGTTGTACTGACCTTCGGAATGGCGGGAATCCACAGAGAAGTATGTACGTGATCACGCCTGCCGCCCAAATGTCCACCTTCAGGCCATAGCTAGGGAAACAAAATGGGTGGAAAGGGGAGAAATAATGATATTACCCCCAGAATCCTCCACATCACCCGAGTACTTGCCTTTGTGAGAGGAAAAAAAAGGGGGGGGGGGAGCTTTTCGGTATCGAACTGTCCGTTTCATGTAGAGGAGTTCACTGCCCTTTGGACAAAGGCATGTGCTCTTCTCCCGGTCCTAATTACAACCTTGGGGACACTGCCATGTTCCCAAGACCAGCCTGGGGACCAAAGTCCCGGCCCAGGCCCAGGGCTCTTGAATGTAGAAGCACAGACTTAAGTTCCCAAGATCAGAGTCATGGTGCAGGTAAGCTGTCTCTCCCTCCCTCCATCTTCTCGGGAGTCCCGTGAAAACACAGGAGGATGCCCATGATATACCTTTCCCACCAAAGAAGGGCGCTAACCCAAACCACCAGGGGTCTCACCCGGTTTCAGCAATGATCTCTGGAGCCACATAGGTTGGTGTGCCGCAGACGGTGTACAAGGGCCCTTCCACCACGGTGGCCAGCCCGAAGTCGCCCAGTTTCAGAGACTTGGTTCCGTCGGGATACTCGCACACCTGGAACAGAAACCAGCCGACTTGTCACACGTTGTTTTTCGTCTCAATGATTCCAAGAGGGGCCTTGGAATGAGGTAGAAATGGCACAGACATACTGACCAATAAACTCAAAAGAAATCTCTGCTTGTGATAGTATCACTATGATTTATCTTTGATGCTTTGAAGCCTGAATGTTGCTCCAGAGAGATTTTTGCATGATTGCGTGGAATTTGAAAAAGACATTTCCTACCTCTGAAAATAAAAATAAAAATAAATAAAAAAAAGGGCCTTACCTAGGAGTTTACTGAACACGTGCGCATGCTCACACAGCAGTGAGGGATGCTCACCTGACGTGGCTGGAGAGGCCTCCCGCCTGGAAGTGGGCCCAGGCCTCACTGCGTGCTTCTCAGAGGGAGGTGCTTGAGAGCCTCGGAAACGTGTTTATTAAGTGCCACTAAAGCCCTAGGTGTTCTCTAAGAGACTTGCATGTTTCCTTTAGAAAATAAAATTAGGACTTGTTCTCTGCAGAGTCGATGGTGAATATAAACATTACATGGGGGGAGCTTTGGAAGTGTAGACAGAAAATGAGCATTGGGATCAGACAGCTTGAACATGAATAACCAAGCACTCCCCTCATTTTCTGGCTGTGTGACCTCCGAGAGTCACTCACCCTCTCTGAGCACATTCCCTCTTCTGCGAAATGGGATGATATGGGGTTGGTGTGAAGATACAATGAGAGCAAGCTTGGATCAGGGCTCTGTGAACATTCCTTCCCTCGCCTGGAAGGTCTGGCTGGCTCAAGCAGATAACCATGATATTGGAAAAGGTCTAACAATGTTGCTGAAATGTCAATGTTTTTGCTTAAATTGAAGCAACTTTTCTAGACTGCATTTCAGCAACGTGTATATTTCTTAACATCATTTATTACCTTGGATCCAGTAAACCTACTTCTAAGAAGCAACCCTGAGGGAACAGAGATGAACCCTGAGGTTATATACCAGGCATCAATCTCAGACTTATCTTAAAAAAAAGTGGAAGCAACCTAAGTCATGGTACATCCCTGCAATAAAATATGCTGTCACTAATAAGCACACTTCAAAAAGCATTAATCCTATGGACACACTCCCTATATTACATAACATAAAAAGAAATATTCAACATTTTATGTGTGTGTGTTATAACACACCAAATTGTTTAGGGTATCTCTAGGTGTTAACATTAAGGATTACTTGAACTTCCTCCTTTTTACTTTTCAATAGTTTCCAAATGAACATGCACTGGTGCCATGATTAGGAAAAATTTTATATGCAGGCAGATTTCCCTTATGGGACCAAAGTCTGGAAGTTCATCCTAAACGAATGGATCTGGAAGCAATCCAGTGTGTTTGAGAGCACAGTATAGGTCTGACTCTAACCTTTAACATGCTCTCCATCCGTCTCTTGATGTCCATTCTGAAAATCCTGAATTTCAGAGACTATCTAATCTGGACTTGTGTGATATCTTCTCTGTGTTCCTACTTTATCGTTCGCTTTCCCTCATATTTTACTATCAGCTGCCCAGGTTTTCACCCAGATTGCTACTTAGGAGAGGAGGTAAAACATTTAGAAAATTATGTTTTCTCAAGATAAGCATGTTAACAACATCATCCATTAGTCTGATACTTAAAGAGGTGACTTGATTTATACAGCCCTCAATAAAACACATCAAGAGCCTCAGGCGCCCCCATCTCAATGACCCCCACATCTTTACAGGCATTTCATAAAGGGTAACCCCGAAATGCCGTCTTTCTGTGGGATGTCCTCCTGGGTTTGAGAAGACAGTTTTTCATCCGGTTTGGACACCCGCCTCCACATCGGAGTCCTACACGCACACCCAGCACACAAGTGCGGGACGGTCAAGTTTCACAGGGGCAGCCGTGAGGCCCAGAGTCCCTCACAGACATCCATCATCCCAGTCACCCCGACTCAGCAGGACCGCAGTCAAAGCTCCTAATGGTTAGCCTGAAGCAACAGAACCCAGGCTCGGCCCTGCTGCCGGCCTCGGCCGCCGGTCCATCCATTATGCCTAACGTAAACACGGGTGAGAACACACGGGTGGAGGAAATTACAGCCAGAATTTATGACGCATTTACTAGAACCCAGACGTCAGGAAGAAATTCCCGAAGTAATGGCAGCGATAAGAACATTATGAGCAGCGTTATGATTCCAAATGCATCATGAGAATTTAAAAACAAAACAAAACACCCCACAGTTTCATTAATGTCATTGGTTATTCTGTTTTCATAACTTGAAAATACACTCATTAGGTACCTTTTTTGAAAAATAGTGTTTATTTTAGACATTCAATTTAGGGATGCCTAGGGGTCCACAAGGGCTGTGGTCAGACCCTCAGGAGTCCCAGAAGCCCCGTTTGTCACAGCCCCCGTGAGGAGCTCCCAGCCAGTCAGAGGCGGGAGAGGGAATAGGAAGGGGCTGAACAGTCCATAACCGCCGAGTTATGTCTGAGCAAGTGATGCTTCCTGGCCAAGCATCAAAAGGGAAGCGTCATCAGGGGCAGACGAGCCTGAAATAATAATATTTTATCTGAGTCATCTCTCCCCAGGGCTAGACACAGAGGCAAGTGTGTGAAGGACAATGTGAGCCCATTTCAAATCTCCGCTGGAGACTCTCTTCAGACAGGGAACATCTATCTACCATCGGTCTGTATGCACACACACACACACACACACACACACGTCACTGCTTTAAGAGGCTGATTTGCACACACACCACGGGCGCTGCATTACAGTGGGAGCTGGAGAAGGAGGCCAGTGCCCGGGCTCCAGGCGTTCTCTCTGGCAGAGCTCAGCCCTCTCCGATCACCCGCATTCTCGCAGGACTCCAGAGATTCCTAGATTCTCCCCGGACTGCTGTCACCACCCCGCAGGGCCATCAGGAAGAGAACTGTTGCCAGCATGGCCTCCATGCCTGTCCATCCATGCACAACCCTTCCAGATGAGGAAACTGAGGCACAGAGAACTCTCGTGAGCAGTGGGTAGCCCCGTGCACATGATCCAACCAATACCACTGCCGTCCCGGGACCCTCCGCTCTGAGGAGCCGCAGGCCTGGCAGAGCCCCCCACACACGCAGGGGCCCGGGGTGCACTCAGACAGGCCCGCTGTGCCCCGCCGCGGGCTGCGACGCCTGTGAGAAGTGGCTCTCGGAATGCAAACATGGAAAACGTGAGGAATGCAGATCCCACAGACGCGGCGAACGCCGCATGCTCTCCAAATAAAACGTCAGCGGGGTGATTTAGAAGGGCTTCCAACGTGAGAACCCGGCCCTCTGCTCTCCCTTTCCCCGGGACTCCCGGGGAGCGGGATTTATCACGGCCTCACCGTTCCCTCTGACAGGCCCCGCGGCCGTAACTCACGGAGAGGGCCACCCCGCGCTCCCTGACATGACCGCGCCCGAAGGCAGATTTAAATTATGGCACCGGCACCGCTGCCAGAGCGGAGGACGCACATCAGATGCCTGCCCTGGCGCTTAGCAAACCTGGGGCAGGAGGAGGCTGGCAGTCACTGTGTGTGCTTTCAGCGCCACCGGCACGTCTCACTCTCGGCCTCACCCGAGGCCGGTGCCCACCTGCAGCGGAATCCAGACTCTGCTGAGTGGTCTGGCCGGGATCTCAAAGGCAGGCACGTGTGTCCTTAGACACGCACAGCCAGGGGTGTCCGGAGCCCGGCCTGACGGCCTTACTTCCCATCTCACACATGGGCTTCGTCCAGACATCGGTGTGGTCACCTTTTTCTCTCTCCTCCCTCCTGGGTCGCACAAGGGGCCTGGCTACACAGATGAGGAGCTCGATCCCGATGTCCCGGTGACATCCTGGGGCACGTCGCCTAAGACGTCACGCCCTGTTACAGCATCTTCCCCTGATGCATAACACTCTTTCTGATTCCGAGACTGTGCATGCATTAAAAATTGTGAGCGGGACAGAGAAGAAAGGAGAAGGGAGCGTGGACTCAGGGAGCTGGGAAATGGACACGCAGATCCACAGGAAGGTCAGTAACGGCTCGGACAGCCTCCTGCGGGGCCCAGAGCTGCAGCTGGGGCTGCTCCACAGCAGCCAATGGTTTGGGGGGACCTGTGGCTCCTTGGTCCACAGGGAACATCGTAAGTGCAGCCCTGGGGTGAAGGGGCACGGACGGCAGGGAGAGATCCAGGGGGTGGCCTTACTAATACCACAGCATGTGTCTGGCCATACCGAGGACCGTCCTGTCACCTCCGCTGGCAAAGCCCTTAGGCAAACCCGGCCAGACGGCGAGGGAGCCTGGGCCCGCCAGCACCGCCGTGGGCGTCTCGAGACGCCTGTGTGGAGGAGAGCACACCATGTCCTCGCCGCCACCCGGAGGCCCGGGTACAATGCGGTCTCCGCGCCTCCAAGTTCCTAAGACTGAATCCACACCACACCTGATTTCACAATTTTTCTTTCCCTAACAGGAACATATAGAAATAAAACAGAGTGCCCTCCTGGCAGAAATCAGTCAGAAAAAAGTCACACACTTTCAAACGGACATTCAGAAGTCATCACATGGTGTTGCTCAAAGGGGAAACACACTGTGGATAGGCAGGCAGCCCCCAGCATGGCCTTCATGCCTGTCCATCCATGCACAACCCTCCCAACGACTATCTGCGTGGGGTGCAAGCACGACTCGGGCTGTAAAAATGGGTGCCCTAGCGCCAGCAGCTAGCTAGCTGAGTGACCGTCAGCCAATCTCCAAACATTTCCTGCACATCCACTGTTCAAGGCCCAGGGACGCTAGGGTAACTGAGACACAAACCTTGGCCCCACTGGTGCTTACGATCTAGAATAGGAGACAGACAAGTAGAGGATAACATCGGCGCACCATGGCTGGTGCAACAAAAACCAGAGGTGGTTCTGCTCAGGGCTGAGGCCAAAGAAGTTGTGCCTTTGGCTCAGTCTCACAAGATCGGGGTGTCTGTCACACTGCTGGGAGACAGGGCAGCACAGAGACCAGTACGGACGTAAGCAGATGAGGTATAATGCTGTTGATAAAGTCAGTTTTAACTAACTACGAGGTATGGGAAGCCTTCGTTGAGACTAACATGATCTAGAACACTCAGGTAACTTCACCTCCCACATAGTGATGATGATGACAACTCAGCCCGGAAAGATAGAACTAGATAAACAACCAACTGCCTTGTGTACGTTTGTGTGTGTGTGATGTGTGTGTGTGTGCGTGTGATATGTGTGTGTGTGTGTATGTGTGTGTGCATGCATAACTCTCCAATCAGCTTCTTTCAAATTCCTCTACAACACAGATGCAAGGATGAGCCCCATCGCAAGCTTTGCTTAGTCAAGCCGTCAGGAAGGTGTGTTAAAGGTGGCTCAAAGGTTACTGCCACCTGGTGGAATGGGTGGGGAAGGGCTGGAAAGGTAAATTGGGACCAGATTAAGCAGCACTTTGAGCCCAGCTAGTGTGGCTCAATGGTCGGACATGGACCTATGAACCAGGAGGTCACAGTTCAATTCCCAGTTAGGGTGCATGCCGGGATTGTGGGCTCAATTGCCAGTAGGGGGCATGCAGGAGACAGCCGATCAATGATTTCGCTCTCATCACTGATGTTTCTCTCTTTCTCTGCATCTCTGACATCAATAAAAAATATATATATTTAGAAGGACCCTAAGTGCCACAAAACACAGTTCTTCTGTGGAACAATGGGGCAAATGAGACTTTTCAGCAAGAAAAATTAGCATCTCTGGGTCTCAATTTCTGTATCTGTGAAGCTGAGATGAATGGACTTGATGTCCAAAGTTCTGTCTAGCTCATAAAAGAACCCCCATGTTCCTATTCTGTCTCCCATTTATTCTTCAGACTCTTTTGCCTCAAATGAATTTCCCTGCTCACTTTTCTTCAGTCAGGACTGTCAACAAAACGGAAGTGAAAGCACATTTTCTAACGTCTGGTAAACAATACATGCAGAAATGCAATTCAGTTGAGGAACTTCAATAATATTTGGCGGTGACTGACTTGCATCAGACTGGTTTTCAAGATTTAAACTCTCTCAGTCCCTTGTTGCAGGACTGGTCACAGACTCTCCAATGTCACTGTTTGCATGGGATTACGGACCTTTTAAAGGAAGAGAGGCATGAGGAGGGACAGGAAAAGCAGAGGTGGCGTACCAAGAGGTTCTCCGGCTTGATGTCCCTGTGCACAATGCTGAGGCCGTGCAGGTACCTGAGGGCGTTGGCCAGGTTGTACACCATGGCACTGCCGTCCCGCTCGGTGTACTTGGTTGAAGAGGTAATTGCATCAAAGAGGTCTCCACCCTGAAGGACACGAAAGAACACATCAAAATATCCACAGTGGCAATCCCTTGAAGGTAACAAAGAAGGCCATGGGCCTGGAGTCGATTTTTTTAAATGCTACTAAAATGGATGATTGTGAATAAAGCTTCAAGGTAGCAAAACACGTTTCTGATTAGGTCCTTGAAGAATACGGTTAGGTCTCGGGATTTGGTGCCAGGGAAACCTCTTGAGGGCCCCCCCCCCCCTTACCTTGACCAATTCCATCACCAGGAAGAGCTCGGTGGCCGTTTCCATCTCCTCCACCAGCATGATGATGTTGGGGTGTTTCACTTGACGCAGGATGGACACTTCATTCTCGATCAGGTGCTCCTGTCAGACAGAGGGAATGTGACCAGGATCCCTGCCCTGTCTGTACCTCGAAGGACATCCGTCTGTAGGGCTGGTGCTCAGGGAAGCAGCTCCCTCAGGGCAGGAACACCCAGCCCTGGCCTCGCTGGTTTCCACAGGGACAGGTCAGGGTGACATCTCAGAGTCACTAACAAAAAGAGCAGGCACCCTTCAAAACAGCCCTCCGCAGGGCTCAGGGGGGCCGCCCTGGCACAAACAACAGACGACCTTCCCATCTCTTCACGGCCTCTGACACCTCAGGGGGCTGTGCCGCTATGAACGTGCAGGCACAGGGCACTACTGTGCTCGCTCTTCAGCCGGAGCGCCACGTTTTAGTCCCCGTTTCCTCAGAAACAATGACTCGGCATAAAAGGAAACGGCATGCTTGTGGCATAGGACATGGGCATTAACATTTCGTTCACCAGTGGGTGTTCCCGCTGACCTTGTATTTCAGAAGCCAGGAAGCATACGTGCTCATAGGGACCATGATTCTGATTTTAGCCCTCCTCACTTCTCCTCTGAAAATTCCACCCGATTGTCAGTCCTGGTGAGTCATGCATTGTATCTGCACTGCAGCACCACTTTAATCACAGCATGAAGGGGTTATTCTCCACACACAACTAGGAGTCATGAAACCCCTCAACGTTACACCCGAGGGTCCGCATGAACGGCAATAATGAATTATTTTGAATTTGAGGTACACTCTGTAAAATTAACCAGCTGCCCTCTGACACATTCTATAGACAGCATTTGCTACCTAAACACACACATACGTGTGTGTGTGTGTGTGTGTGTGTGTCCCTTACATTGTCCCTTGTGCCTCTGCTATCATGAATTCTAGAACTAAATTTAGTGGTGTTCCACTGCAGTGGGAACAGTTATCTCTAGTTCAGGATAGTGTTTATGGTTCCTCTCTTATCTTCATGCATCCCTGTGAACGTGTGTTTTCACCGTAAGCCATCTCAAATGCTTTTCTGACAACAATTGGAGGTATAAATGATAATAAGTAACACGCAGGAAAAATCGGTTGTAAGCACCTGCATAGGGCGGGCTGTGTTTCTTGAGCGTGGAATGCCCTATGCTTGTCCAGGTCAGCACCGGCCAATGACGGTGAAAATGCTAACCGGAGAGGAAAGAACCGCTGCTGACCAGGAATCCGGTCGCTGTCTGTCCATCGTGGTGCAGGGTGCCTGTGCACCATCCTCGCCCTTCGCCCTTTGGGACAGCACTGAGGCAGCATGCAAAGCCCAGGCTCCGGACACCCACGCCCACACTTCCTGTGCTCCACATCACCTTTCCAAGGAGGGTGCTTTGGCAAACGTCAGGTTGGAATTTTTGAAAAGGAAATGATAGCTGCACAGCTGTACACATTTAATTTCTCGAAAAGACAGGAACGAGAGGTTGCATGATAATGAACTGGGCAGCCAGGCGGACCCACGCCAGGCTTGGAGCAGGAAGGAAAACCTCTGCCCCTAGCGAGCAGGGCTGGGAGCACAGTGAGCTGTGCTTTCCTGAACACAAAGGGGAGAGAATGAATCCATTCCATGCTCTGTGAAGCCAGAGCTGCTGCTACCACTGTAGTAAAAGAGGCATTTTTAAAAAAATGCTAAATGGATATATCCCCTCAGTTCTACCTCCTTCCCATTTCCACCAAGTTGGAAGAGCCTGCAAAGTGACCTCTGTTTGTGATGCTAATTTAGAGCCATGCATGTAAAATGACCCCCATCACCAGGACCCAGGAGCTCCCTCAAATGGGAGCTGAAATAAGAAGTCTGCCACCTCAGGAGACTGGGCCTCCCAATGCTGTCTTTTCCCACGAAAGGAGCGACAGAAAGGCTCAGGGCCGCCACTGAGGGCTCCCCCCAGCGGCCGGCAGTGCTGCATTTCACACAGCACAGAGCAGGGATCCTTTCTCTGTCACGTTTGTTATCTCAGGTCGCTGTGTCCTCCTCGGCCACGGGCTGGTATTCTAAGCACAGAGCTGAAGCTGCTGTTGGGATGTGGGGGCTGGTAGCCTTTGTTCCCAGCCTCTGACAGCGCCCGTGAGGTTGTCTGCGAACCCACTTTTAAGCGAAATCACCGCCAGTAGCAAAGCAAAAAGCAATGCATGAGAATCTCTACAAATGTTATCTCCTCGTTTCCCATGCAGCCCATAACTCATCTTCGCTTCTAATACCTAAAAATACCCTCTAGATTTCATTTTCCAGGAAAAGATTTCTAAACACAATAGGAACCACCACTTTTGCCTTGAACTGCACTGAACTAAACATGGTTCGACCATCTACCATTATTTATGCTAAGTGATTCATGGTCCCCATGCCGAATAATTTACATATGAATCATTTCCTGGCAGTGTGCCCTGGCTCTGGGTGAGTAAATGACAAGGAAACTGCTAACTTGGCAAAGGAGACTGCCTTATCTCTGGCTGTGGTCGTTTTGAATGTACAAAAGGGGCAGAGATAGAGACAGATAGAGAGACAAAAGGAGGAGGAGGAGCGGGAGGGAAGGAGGGAGGGAGGAAGATTAGGGAATAAACAACTCTCCCAAACCAAACTAATCATCCTGTCTCCACACTTCCCAGCCCATAAAACACACACAGTCCTTTCCTCCCGGTGCCCTGCCTCATTGAAGGAACCTGGCAGCCCAGAGCAGACAGGAATCCCGCCCTCCTCTTCCCCGCAAACCCTCCCACCCTCCCCCTCCAGTACAGCTCCTGCATCACCAGGTCTACCTTCTCAATGGCCAATGGATCTGCCCACTCACTTCCATCCCCAGTGCCCTCTCTCACCGAGACCTCTAGGCATTTGCACAGGTACTTTCTCAGTCTGGAACCACATCTTAGTGAACTCCTGTTTATTCCTCAAGACCAGTTTAGATCTCACCTCCTCTACACAGCGCCCCCTGCTGGGTGAGGTTCGCCTCTTAGCTGCTCTCAGGGCCCCCTGTGCTGGTTCCTGGCACAGCCGCTATTGGCTGACCTGGAGGCTGCTTTTTTGTTTGTTTTTAATATATTTTATTGATTTTTTACAGAGAGGAAGAGAGAGGGATAGAGAGTTAGAAACATCGATGAGAGAGAATCATTGATCAACTGCTGCCCGCAACCAAGATACATGCTCTTGACTGGAATCGAACCTGGGACCTTTCAGCCAAACCAGTTTCGGCTGGAGGCTGTTGTTTATCTTGCTCTCCAGTAACCGGCCCAGTGAGTCCCGAAGTGCTGGAGTGAGTGAGTGAGGAAACACATTGCGCTTGGCTCTCGAGGGGCACTGGCTTCACAGCTGGTATCGCTGTGCCCTCTGAGTATCGCTGAGAGGGATGCAGTCAGAGAGAATGATGTTTAAATCACCGTCTGTGATTTCTGTGGTGGAGCTATGTAGTGGACTGGATAATGGTCACCCAAAGAGAACAAGTCCCTGGAACTTGTAAATGGTGCCTATTATTGGGGGGGGGGGGGGGGGGGCGGTGGAGAAGGGCTCACAGATGTGATTACAGTTTCTGCAAGAGATCGCTCTGGATTAGCTGGGTGCCCTCACAGCTGGCCTTAGAAGATAAGAGGCAGGGGGAAGTTTCCCACCCAGAGGAGGAAAATGAACACGCAGGAGAGAGAGTGAGGTGAGGATGGAGGCCAAGGTGGGAGTGATGTGGCCAGAAGCCAAGGACCACCATCCGCCACCAGGAGCCATTCAGTCAAAGGCGAGGAGCAGGCTCTCCCCAGGGCCTCCCGAGCTGTGAGAGAATAAATTTCTGTTGTGGTAAGCCACCGAGTTTGTGGTAATTTATTCCAACGTCCTTAGGAAACGACTACAACATTCGTTTGGATTTATGTCCTGTCTGGGCTCCTAACACGTGGATAATGAATGCAAGGCTGTGGGAGGAGGAGGAAGGACCACTTCTGAGTACCCGAACAGAAAGCTCCGAGCTTCAGACACTGTGGGAACTCAATAAATATTCATTTAGAGTGAATATTATTTAGCATATTAGACATGGAAGAATTCTGAAATTTACAAACACCACAGCCTTCTCAACAGCCTCCATAAATCTGGCCCCGAAGCTGATCTTGCAATACTCTCCTGCTCAGGAGGTCCGAGCATGCTCTCAGTGCCCTGGGCCCTCCCGCAGGCTGTGGCCCCAGGCAGGAGTTCCTCCCATTGCTTCCCGCTGAAAGCCTGCCCTGTGCAAATACTTTTTGCCCTAGGGTGTCTTCTCTGATCCTTTCTCTCTCAGATGCTTCCCCACAAACTCTCCAGTTTGCAGTACTGGTATTCATTTATACGCTAAAATACCCTACTTGTAGCACAGTACCTTGCACATGTCAAAGTTTAGGTAAACTTACCTAGTAATGCTCACGTATATTGCAGACAAGCAAACTGAAGAGCAGAGAGGTTAAGAATGTTTCCCCCGGGCTCTTATTACACGAACAATGGAATAAATTTAACTCGGAGAGGGAGCGTGATAGACTGGCCAACGTATAGGCTGAGTAACCAACTCGCCCAAAATTCCTACCCCTGCTCGGCCTCCGCCTCCGCTACCTAACCTGAAACTCTGTCGCCTTTTGTGTGAAACTGGAGCATCTGCCAGCATCATTAAAGCAGGAAGGCCAACTTGTTAGTTTGAAAGGAGGGTCAAGTCTCAGACTTCTCACATCTTTTGTGTGTGTTGTGTTTCTGGGTTTTATTCTGAAATATGCATCTCCTAGAGGAGAGATTAAAATGTAACATTTTCATCTGTAATTGTTGACCATATTACATATGTCCCCCTTTACCTCCATTGGCCACTTCTAATAATACATATATATTTTTTATAGTGAGGACCAAGATCAAAACAATGTACTGTTTTAGGATTAAGGTTTCTGAAAAATGGCAGGGGGGTGGGGGGAAAAAAAGCAAAAGCTTTCTAGTGTTTCCTGCACTAGTTTCACAGGTTTGTTCCTGTAATGGACTTGGCACATGCCCACTTCAATGCCCTCAGCACAAGAATCATCTTACCGAGGTTTCTTGAACAAAGCAGTTATGTATACCGTACCTTTCCACAACATTTGGCTTTGTCTATGATCTTCAGGGCAAACTCCTTTCCGGTGGCCCTGCGGAATAATCAGAGGAAGGCCTTTTAAAGCCCAAGTCACAGATAGGCGAGCGCCGTCCTCCCGTTTCCTCCACAGCACAGACCCGGGGAGGAAAGTCTGCTTCCTCCGCTCCTCACAGACCCTGCGGCCTGGGGCCCGGAAGAAAAGTGCCCCCAAAGGAAAAGAAAAAAACCTGAAGCCACACTGCCCATCTCCGTTTTTACACAGTATTATGAAATAATTTACATATTTAAAGTATTTAAATCCTGCTATATCCGACATGGACAAAACCCTGGTTTTTGTCCAATACTTAAATCTCAAGAGAGTTATCTTGGAAGGCAGAATAAAATTAGGAGAAAAATGATTCAAAGTAGCTGAAACCTTCCTATTGCCGATATGTCTTCACATTAATCTATGAGTCCATCATTCCAACCTGAGAAGTCCCCAGACTTTCAATATCTATTTCTCAGCTCCTACTGCATCCGGGGCCGTCTCCACCACAGCTCTCGATGCCCGCTTCTGACACCAGCGAGCTCATGTACATGTAGGCATGACTCTTGTTGTTATTTAACATTTAACCACCTTTCCCATCTTTTAATCTGAACCTGCCCAAAAATACCTTTGCATTTAGGGAAAACAGTTCAACAACCAACGTTTCAGTAGTTCTGTAATATAGCAGTTCCTGCCAGTGGTCACACTACCCACCAGTGAGGCCACCTTGGGAAAATAACTTTTATTTAAGTTGCTTCCCTATCACATAAACCAAACCCTGCCTTGGATTTTTGAAGGGTCTTTAGAAGTCCTGTTTTCAATTCTTCACTTGTTGCCGGAGTGGCACTCTGTGAAGCAGACAGAGCTAAGGAGAAGGCTGAGAGGATGGGGGGCGGGGGGTGGCAGCGGGCACCACTGTAAGGGGGTGCAGCAGAATGGACAAGCAGTGGTTGCCAGAGCTTCCCGGAAATTCCCCACAAAGAGTAAAAATACTACTGGGAACAAGCAGGGAAGTGGCAGGCATATAAACAGAGGGACTAATCTGAGTCTTTTCCGGTTTTGATGTTGTTTTCAAAAGGCCTGCGATTTGAAAGAATGCATTTCTTACCACTTGAGAATTCAGGACCTTCAAATAAAGCCGGACACACAAAAATATAATTCTATTACAGGCAACAGCCTAACACCGTTCTTCAGGGGAGTCAGAGTTCACGAAGCCCAAACTACTGGCATCTAGAACTGAGTATTCGCTGAGGGGGTCACTGTGGGATTCAGTGAGTTACACCACTGAGAACCGTGCCTGGTACAGGTAAACACGACACGGGATTTTTAAAGACTACATCTTATTCTTTCCCAGTGTTCTCTGGCTCGTGGATGAGACATGATATAGTGCTCAATCCAACATCAAAGCAGGTGTATGCTCTATTGGCCTACATGCTTTTCCCCTGACAAACTGCTTGTGGGCATGCAAAACAGCTGGTGCCAAAGTTAGGCTATTTTATAAAGGCACATATTCGCTCCGGTAAGAATAAACTCCAAGGAGACATGTATGTGTAGGTGGAAAAATGATTATCCTCACCATCCACTCACCTGTCCATGCACTCTTTGACTACTGCAAAATTGCCATCACCAATAACCTTTCCAATTCTGTACTTCTCAAGAAGAGTCGAAGATTCAATGCATCTATTTCCATTCACGCCTATGAAAGAGGATAAATGCAAAGCTGAAACCAACATTTTATCTTGATTCCCATATACCTGTCAAACAATAAATTGCAATGCATTTACTTCTAAATCTATGGTAAAACTATAATGAATGTCTCTGAGCATATTTTCTGAATAGAATACCCGAATCACAGGTATTGGAATCAGAAACCAATATAATCAATAAAGATAACAAATATCTGAAATACCAGCTAAAATAAGTGTGACAAAGTCATCTAACTAAAACTTCAAACTTCTTTGTCAAATTTGAGAAAGAAGAATGACGCTGGGATTTAACCTTAGAAATTGTCACAAGATTTCTCCTCAAGATTTTCTAGTAAAGAAAACTCTAGCCAGTTAGGATGCCTGTTAAAGCTAGTAACCGGCTCAAAGAAAGACAAATACCATATGACCTCACTTATACGTGGACTCTAACGAACAGAATAAACTGACAAACAAAATAGAAACAGAGGTATGAATATAGTAACAGACTGACAGCTGTCATAGGGGAGGGGCTAGGAGAGACTAGATGAAAGAAGGTGAAGGGACTACCAAAAAAAAAAAAAAAAAATCAAACCACCATATATAAATAACACATAGACACAGTCAACAGTGTGGAGAGGGACAGGGGGAGGAGGGTAGGTGGAGGTGGGCAAAGGGGCAGAAAATGGCGACAGAAAGAGACTTTGCTTGGGGAGATGGGTGCATGATGTGATGTACAGATGATGTTTTACTGAGTTGTACACACTTGAAACCTGTATGGTTTTTTGAGCCAAAGTCACCCTAATAAATTCAATTTATATGTAACACTAGAGGTCTGATGCATGAAAATTTGTGCAAGATAGGCCTTCCTTCCCCTGCTGCCGGCACCGGCTTCTCTCTGGCACCCAGGATCCAGGCTTCCTCTCCAGCCACCCCAGGGACCTGGGTTCCCGGCTGGCTTCCCTCCAGCCCCCGCTTCATCAGGAAGAACGTCTGGAATGATGTCTGGTCTAATTAGCATATTACCCTTTTATTATTGTAGACTATTATAGAAGATATTAAAGCTAATTCCTGGCTCAAAGTCTTCTCAAAAAGGTGATGATAGTGAGCGGTGGGGAACAGGACATTGCAAACATCACATAAACTTTTTTGTTAACCAATTGAAAGAAAAGTCTACATTTAGGACTTGTGAGCAGGTTGCCACTAAAGAAAAGTAAAGAAAGTTCAAGTCTAAAATGTGAGATTGGACTAGCTTAACAACACGCAAAGACCAAATGGGTGACATGACCACCTCCCTGCTTAGGAAGATAATGTGGGTTTGGGGTGGCCACCACGGTCACACGGATGACTCTCTTTACACACGTAACCATCAGATTGAGCACTACCTTCGGGACTCAGGCAACGATCAAGCTCAGGCCCACCGTTTATGTTGGAGGAAGATCTGCCATGTGCAGAAACCTGCTGAGAGAGGAGAGTGACCATTATCTATCAGGAAAACGTGACACATCTTCAGCTCGCCAGTCCTTAGTTAACAGAAAATGCTTATAGAATGTAAAATACAGGCACAGAGAAAGAGAGGGGGCACTGTCTTTCTCTTCCTCCCACTTCTCTCCCTATACTCATGACATTAATGCATTTTATCCTCAGAGACAATATTTTCAATTAGGATTAGACATCAGGAAAATTGACAGTATGTTACTCTTTGATATTGTGTTACTTTTGACAATGCAATAAAATAAAGATTTCTATGGCATCGAAGCTCTATGGGGTACTTAGGAGTGGCAAAAGAAGGCTTCCAGCTACAGATTATTCCAAGTCAGCAATGAATCCCCAGATCTCACAGCCCGCCCTGAGGCTAACCACAGGGAGTCCCTGCTAAGGGCAAGCCCTTCTGACCAGCCAGCCCCTTGCTCCCAACTGCACCCCCTTCAGGGCCCAGCGTGCAGCCCTGGCTCAACCCTCGTCGTTACCCACCGAGGTAGCAGGAATCCCTCCTGAGCACCGTGAGGATTTTCATTACCAGGATCCAGAGGGAAATAAAATATAAAACTAACACAAAACTGAAGCTCCCATTCTAACACAGCAATATCTCTAGTTCTTAGTTAAATTGAAAAACTCATGTTATGAATGTTATTCATATTAAGTTTGTTATTTGGTAGGCTTATGGAATTTCTATTAATCCTCAAGGGCTCTTATGCTTTGAACTAAAATGTTTCCCTTTGATCTTTAATTTTCTCTTTTCTTCACTTTTCTATTACTCCTTTCAGGAGCTTGCAGGGTCAAAGGACCTACGAAATCTTGAGAAAGCATCTTCAACATTTTTTTTTGTCTTGGTATGTTTCCACACTTGCATCTGTGCCCACACAATCCAACTATGCTGGTGGCTTCTGGCCAATCTTCATGCCTGCCTCCCCCCATAGGCAGCACCATGTCTGGTACCCACAGCACTTGCTCCACAAAAGCATCAAGGACACAGGCCCACGGCAGGGACCGCCCTTCCCAGAGTGCCCACTGGTCGGAGTCTCTGGGTCTGTTCTCCTCTGAGTGAGGTGAACTTCACTGGAGATGGGTTTGGTTCAGACCCCGCGAATGCCCAACACTTATAAAACATCCCTTCAAACAAGACCACCCACAAGTTCTTCTGGAATAAAAGACGAGGCTTGAGAATGAGAGACACGCAACACCAGGCTGTTTCCTCAGACCCCAGGTAACCGGCGGCGGCAGCAGCATGTCCTGTGAGGAACCCCAAGGCCACGGGGGAAAGGAACGTGGGATACACCAAACAAGCCAACACCCTGCGTGGCACACATCCCTCGCCAGGGGTCTGTTTTCCTCCCTCTGCCCTGGCAGGCACCTGTGCAGGAGCGTGGGGGTCCCTTTCTGAGGGGCAGAGGCTGCTCTAAGCTAAACACCCAACTCCTCAGAAGTCAGTCATGTTGCTTCCTCACAACACAAGGTAACTGGTCAACAAGGAAGGGTTTTAAAAATTGAGCATTTGCATTTGTTTGTTGTTTATGTCTTAAGCCACTCAATACTAGGCGGCTTCTAAACAGGCAGGAGTCTAAACTAGGATGTTAAACCAGGGCTCAGAGTGGGGATGTAAATCAGTGGGAAAGGAAAACCACCTTCTCCACGGTTCTGTCCCCGCAGCTCCCACCTCGTCCCTGCCCCCCTCAAGCTTCTCTCGGCAGCTCATCAGCAGCCCCTTCGGCTCCCCCGGTCCACCCACTGTTGCCAGAGAAACTTCCACGGGATGGTTCTGATATCGGCCCCAGGATCCAAAAACCTCAGTGGGTCTTTGTTACCAACAGAACAACCCCCAGATCGTCAGTGTAGCTTTCAGGTCCTGATGCCTCCATACCTACCTGAACAATCTGTTTCCACTATCACCACCCTCCCGCACCCCCCTACATTCAACACTTAGATTAACTCAGATCATCTTTTTGTTGAAAAGTTACTTAACCTTCCAAGTCTTGCTGTTGCTCTGAATATAGGGACAGCAGCAGCACCCAGTTCAAAGATTTGCTAAGGAATTAAAATTAGCTCACATTGGTAAAATCATTCAGCACAGCCACTGACATGGAACACTAACTCAGTACCAGTTATTAGCGTCTTTCCTCAGAACGTCTATCCCACAGGGAGCCTAGAGGCACGTGACTGCAGACTGCTTTTAAGCTATTGAATGCACAATGGCTAGGAGAGAACTCCTGCTAAATGATTTCTTCCAAGTCTGCTCCTCCTCCCATCCAACCCTTCCAAGTCTGAAAACTGTCAAGGGAAAGAGAGATCCAAATCCAATTTCCATCAGCCAAATTCTTAATGGAATCAAGACGAGAGAAGTGTCCTCTTTTTGAAAGTTGGGTCTCAGAAGGTAAACGGAAAAACTCGCACCCCCACCCCCCACCCGCCCCCGGCCTTTGAAGGCCGCTTGCCTAGATTGCAGTGCTGGAGGACGACGGTCAGCGCCCGGGAATAGCAGTGAGCACAGCTGACCTGCGTGTCTAAACCTCACTGCCCAGATGGGGCAGCCCCAGCCTCAGGTCACAGCCGGCTTGGTCAGGCCTGGGCCCTGGGTAGGAACTGCCCCCTCCAACCCTCAGAGCCCGAGGGAAGCATGCAGGCCCATGGCCCCTGCGGAGGTCCTGAGCCCCACCTGCCTTTGTGCCAGGCCTGCCTGCTTACGTTTCCTGGAAACAGGTCACTCTCTTCAAATGAGCCCCTTTCTGGAGCCAAACTGAGTAAGCCTTAGTTCACTGCGAGCTGATGTCTTCCTTTCGGACTCAAGGGCTTTCTAAGAAGTCAGTCTTGGGTGGCAACAAGGCTGAAGGTGTGTTGTCTCCGAGGAGGAGGCGTCCTCACAGAGAGGGCGAGGGTGGAGGGTCAAACGAAAGCCAGCTTCCGTGTGTACCTGGCCAAGGTCTCACCAAATCCCCGGGAAATGCAGCTTTCTCAGCCAAGAATGGCAAAAAGACATTTTTCAAAATTCTCAAATGGGATGATTTTTTTTTTAAAGCATTTAAAAAAAATAGTTAACAGGAGTGATATGTAATTGCTTATCCAAATATGTCCCTTTAATAAAAAATAGAGCTTTCATGAAGAAAATGACAACATGCAAAACTAAGGGGAATCCCCTCATTCTAGCCCCGTGGACGAGACCGTGTGGCATGCCTAGACACAGGGTGGTTCTCCTCTCCTCCCTCAGCGACGACCTGTGCTGGGCTTTTGGAGGCGACAACGGTGAAGGGACACGCTTGGTGCAGCCCAGAAGTTTGCAATCTTGTGAAGAGGCTATGTGCACTTCTGCCCAACCACAGGGCCCGGCATCCAGGCTGTGGCTCCTGCAGCTCCGAGGGTCTGGGAGCTGGCGAAGAGCCCCTTTGCTCAAAGATCTGCACTCCCAACGCTTGTTCTCACCGCTAGTGATTAAGTTCACTTGACCTCCAGGCATGGAGCTCGGTGATCCAAGGTCCAAGAAAAGCTGGGTGGCTGAAACCGGTTTGGCTCAGTGGATAGAGCATCAGCCTGCGGACTGAAGGGTCCCAGGTTCAATTCCGGTCAAGGGCATGCAACTTGGTTGTGGGCATATCCCCAGTAGGGGGTGTGCAAGAGGCAGCTGGTCGATGTTTCTCTCTCATCGACGTTTCTAGCTCTCTATCTCCCTTCCTCTCTATAAAAAATCAATAAAATATATATATTTTTTAAAAAAAGGAAAAGCTGGGTGTTCGCCACCATCTCTGGACAGATCCTGGGTGCATGCAGAGCTTGTCTACTGGGAGCTACGCAGTAGAGCACTCCCTGTGTCCTGAGAGACACACAGACAAAGAGGCGTGAAAACCACGGGGTGATGCTATGCCTACGAAAGTCTCCCTGTTTTACCGAAACCGGTTTGGCTCAGAGGATAGAGCTTTGGCCTGCAGACTGATAGGTCCCAGGTTCAGTTCCGGTCAAGGGCATGCACCCTGGTTGCAGGCACATCCCCAGTGGGAGGTGTGCAGGAGGCAGCTGACAGATGATTCTCTCTCATTGATGTTTCTAACTCTATCCCTCGCCCTTCCTCTCTGTAAAAAAAAAAAAAAAAAAAAAATCAATAAAATATATTAAAAAAGAAACTCTCCCTGTTTCTCAGGCACAATGTATGTATTTCCCTTTCTCTGGTAAAAGAATCATTCTCATATTGAAGCAAGGCTTGCATTAGCGCCAGAGTGATTCACACATGGCATCCCTGATGAAACCTGTCTTGTTTCTATTGTCTAACTAAGAACTGTTATTAAAATCTCTTACGATGCTAATGAGCTTTCATGCTTCCATCAGCAGCGACGATGCTGAGACAGCACAAAGAAAGTGCCTGGCCGCTGCCCGTTGGGGAGGTCCCCCTCAATAAAGCATAAGTGGATGACAGCATCTGGGCTCTTTCAAGATAGCTTCCATAATTACTGAGCGGTTCAAAGCGATGGGATCGTGTTGAGGGGTGGGAGGAGAGGGGGGCTATTTCCTGAGGAGGCCCTGGTTGGTCCAGGGGGGAAGGTGATGAAAGCTGTGGAGATATTGGGGAGCGTGTTCTCCGTGACCTGCCCCGCTGCCCTGCCCGCCTCCTCCTCCGGCAGGAGCAGCTCCGATTTTATGAGCAGGGAAGGGAAATGCACACGAATCCGCTTCTGCTAAGAACTTTTTCAATAAAAGACTTAAAACGGGCGGAAAAGGCTATAAAGTGTTCTCAGCTGCCAGGACCATTTAGAAAGGCACTCACGGCTGAGTAAGTCCATGTGATAATGAGTCGCATTCCAGCTTTCTGCATTTTTAGCCAGAGAGTCAAGGCAGAGTGTCCTACATTAAAGTTCTTTCATACATGGATGATTGAATTTCTACAAAACCTAAAATGTAAAAAGGAATGGGCCCTAGAGGGCTTGGCTCAGCAGATAGAGCACAGGCCTGTGGACCAACGGTCCGGGTTTGATTCCAGT